TCAAGGGTGTTCTCCAGTGCAATGGTGGTTTTGTTGTTATCAGTGTGAAAGTGTGGAGTTTGCTTCTGGTCTTTAAGTGGTGTATGTGGGGGAAAAAAAAGAAGGCTGTTTACACAGTGCCAGATTCTATTATTTCTTCTTAAACAGCTGTACCTTCTCCTCCTAAAGCAGTTTATGCTGCCTTTTGCCTTCTGTCACTATACTGGCTGTCAGCCTTCTCATAATTGATTGGCTTCTGTAATTATTCATAAGAAAATATATTTTCCTCTTGTCAGCTGCAAGCTCATATGTCTTAGATTTGTGTATTATTAAAAGAAACCCTGAATGTGCTTTCAAACTGCAACACATGTCTCATAGTTTCTGGGGAAAAAAAAACATTTGCTTGCCATAGAAATGAAGTCGTTCTAGCTGAGGGCAGTCTGTAGCCACCAGTGTCACCATTGGGATTCAGATCAATTCACAGATACCAGGGTTGTTGCATCACTGCAGCAAGTTCATGGCTGACATCACACGGCTGCTTTTAAAGGGGCTGTTCTGGAGCCATGTTACAGCATGGGTGGGAGCCCACAGCTGACCGTGTCACAATCTCTCTTACATCAGTGCTGCCAGCGGGTGTTGTGGTGGTTGCAGACATTTGGTTTTGAATAGACAGCCAAAATCTGGGCTTTGCTGGTTTAAATTTTAAAAAATAAAAATTCAAAGTGTGTGGGGAACACATGCAGGTCTTTGATGACAAAAAGCAGATTTTTATTAACAAAATTTTGTATCAAAGCCCAGTCTAGAGTGTCTGCCTTTGTCTTAGGTAATTGGAATGAGGGGATTAGTGGACTGATCCCATCAGCATCTCATTATGAGCTGGAGTTCACCAGCACTCAGCTGGTCTGAGTACCAGCAACAGTTGAGTTGCAGCTCCCTCTCTTTGTAGTGTAGGTAGTGGGTACCCCATATGTTGAACAGTGCATCTTTGTCCATCACTGATTGTCCTTTGGAGACAAAATTTGTATTACAGCTGGAGTTAAAAATGGATGAACACAGACCTGCTAATATTTGATGTTAGAGGAACGTTGGTCTTTGAGCAGGAGGAGTTTGCATTTAATGCCAAATGATGCAATTTGAAGCAGTGTATCTCTAGTCACATTTAACATTGGATTTGCTGGCTTTCTCCAGAGAATCCTTATTAAGATGGAAAAGGTCAGTGGTCTGACTCTGCTCTGAGATTTCATTTTGTATCTGTACTGTTGGCTTTTTTATCTTTCAAAAGAGCTTAGTTCCAAAGAATGCTTCCCCTTTGCCAAAATTCCACATGATCTTGCCTTCAAGGAAACACATCCATTTTTAGTAAACTAGGAGAGCCTTTATTTAAAAAGAAGATTTCTGGTAACAGTGATTTTAACCCATGAAATGTGGACACAAATGAGTTAATCCTAGTTCCAATTATAACTGCTATATTTCACTCATATGATTATTCATAGTGAAATTCAGTATTTGTGCTTTCACGGGGGAATTAGTAATTTGTTTTTTCCAGTTTAAGGTATGAGAAGCAGCAAGGGTGTGCACCTACATAAGAAAATAACCTGCATTGCATTGATTACTTCTTGCTTGTTAAAAACACAAACATTTAAATAATACCTCATTACAACATCTGTTATTTTCTCCAAGAAGTAGAAATCTTTGCAAAAATTTTAGTTTACACAATAATTTGTACTGTAATACCTTTCTGTTTTCTGGTTGTTGAAGTTATTTCATGTATACAGTAGCAGAAGAATATGACCAAAACAAGTCTTAATTGGCAGGATATTAGTTGGGTATTTTAAATAAAATACCTTTGTTTTTTCCTTTGCCTCACTTATACTTTCTCTTTTGAGAAAAACACCAGCTAGTGCTGTGCTGCTGAGCAGCAAATATGTGACTATATAACCACTCACTGGGATGCTTTTGTTATCTTCTCGTTTTTTGAGAGGCTGTGCCTCTCCTTCAGGTGTTTTGAGGAACGTGATGGGGGAGAGGATGGAATTGCTGAATTGTTTCATGCAGTGACTGCTGTACTCTGCCCTATTTCTGGTCACATTTGGGGTCTACTTTTCTGCATGGGAGAGGATTCCAGAGAAATTGAACAAAATAAAAGATGTCACTGAATCTTAGGGATGCTGTGTTCTGGACTTTGGGAAATTTAAATACTTATTCAAGGTTTAGGAGGGACAAAGCAAGGATTGCAAATAACCAAAAGCAGTTCTTGAATTTGCAGATTCAGAATTCACACAGTATTTTCTCATATGTTGCTTCTGTCTAGTTCTCAACTCAGTTCTCAACTCTTGTTTTAGCTTACTTGTTCTTTTCCTACTGCTTGCCTGTTTTTATGGTCCTGGCCAGCCCTCCCTCTTGACTCCCTGTTTGGCCACATGAAATCACAGATGCTGTGTATAAGACAGCATTCTCATGGCCATCATGAGTCAAAATGCTCTAAACTTATTAACCAAACTTGCAACTGGTTAGACCCATTTTGAATGATTTAAGAGACTATACTGCAGCATCAAAACTCAGCTGATTTATTCTGTTTTCCAGTGAATGTCTACTGCTAAAAAGGAATGCCAAGTTTTAAAAATCACTTTAGATTGAGAGAAGTCTGGAAAAACCTATTCATTGGTGCTAATCAGCTTTCGTGTCTCTTTCCTATCACACTCTAAGCTCATTTGTTGCTTAAAATAATGTATTTTCATTTCTTCATACCTAATGTTATTTTTGCAGGGAATTATTTCTGTAGCAATACTCAGTCATAGTTTAAAGCATGTGGAGTTCTTGACTAATTCATACCTTATGGTCTGTGCAGTGTGTAAAAAACAGTTTTTTGATGTTCTTTGGTAAGGTACAGTAAAACAAAAAGCAAATGAGAATTCTCCTATTTGTGGTTAAACCCTTTCCAAAACAGAGTAGAAAGAAACTTTTTGTCACTTTTCTGCCAGAAAATAGTGCTTACTACTTGGGATGCCTGTTTCTCTGGTAAAATGGGTAGAATTCAAACTGCTTTTGGCAGCACAGCTGTGTGGAGGAGGGATAAAGCTGTGAGCTGAATGATGCTCCTATGTTGTGAGAGAAGTGGTGGAATTCAGAAACTTTAACACCTTATATGTGAACCAGTGTTGTAATAATTCTTTAAATAGATGGTTAGACATCCAGTCAATGTGGGAAATTAGTGTTTTTTCTAAATTACTATTGATTGTTTCTTGTCTTCTCTGAAATAATTTGTGTTTTTCTCTCTTTCTTTCATGGTAACATACAATTGTATTGTGAAACCTCTCAGCAAGTCGTGTGGATGCTAGATAATTCCAGTGTAGGTAGCTGCACTTGGTAGATATGTTTCAGGATACATGACTTATGTTGGGACAGTTTGATTGAAAACCTCTCTTCTCCTGTTAAGTTTTTTACAAAATGTTGGCACACAGAGATCCCACTAGGAATGTCAAATTTTGGACACCATATTGTAGCACAGTACTAAAACTCTCCTTTAAATCTGCTGCAGCTCTGCAACTTGGAGGGGAGGGCTGGAGTAATTTTCACTAAATCGTTAATTAGAATTGAACTATGGAAGTAAAGCAGAAGGGACTTGGGGACATTACTAGAGCACTCTGGGAGATGGCTAGTGCAAAATAAGCATCCATTGCATAAATTCTTGGAAGTGTGTGCTGTGTTCTGCAGGATATATACAATTACTTTGTTGAGTCCTTTGTTATGTACAGATTCTTGAGCAGGTTCTGATCAGTCCAATTAATTTGCTGCTTCCACATAAACTGGAGTTCAGCGAGTGTTTTAAAATGCCAAGAATAGTCTCTGCCACCAAAACAGGGATTTTCAGCCTGCACCAACATTTTTCCCTGGTTCTGGCATAGGGTTTGTGGGAGAGGTGATCAGAAAACTGCTGTATTTCTGATCAGTTTCTCTCACACACTGGCAATGCAAAGCACCTGGGACAAGCTATAGAGGTAGGAAAATTCTGCTTTGGCAGTAGCCAGAAGTAGGATCCATCACAATGATATTTCTTTGCATTGATGCATTTATCTGATGTTTTATCTGGATTAGCAAATGGTAAGATCAGGATGTTCATGGAGCCTGTCTTTAGCAATCAGTAAGTGCAGGTTTTTCTTTGCTCTTAGAAGAAAAGGAAAAAAAGGGGAAAATGTTTTCTTTTTCATAAAAGTAGAAAAGTAGGGCAAAGACCTCAAACTGCTTTCTGTCATAAAATAATAAAACTATTCTAGATATGCAATGCAAACTTATTGCTGACTTCTATCAGTCAGCAGTTTTAACTCCCACTAACATAGCTGTCGGAAACATTCATTTAAAGTGCTGATTTTTCAAAATCAGGTTTGGACAAGTTGAAGCTGAGGTCATGTTGATATCAGCTGGAAAGAAGCACTTGGTGTTTGTGTAGCACTTTGTATTGGGGGGGGAGGGTGATTTTTAATTTATTTGTTTTTAAAAATTTTATTGGTGAGCAGACAAGGGGTTCCATAATGTTCCCCATTAACTTTTTGTATTGGTGGATTAGAAGTTTCCATGCCTTTCATGCTTTCTTACCTGTGTGCACCCTGCTGAACTTGATATCCATCATAGCCCCTGCTGGAGTGAGCTTTTGTCATACCTGGAGGTTGGGTAATGCTTCTATCAGAACTCAGAGCTGCGTCTGTCAGGAAGTGGGGTCTGTAGGTGTGTGTCTGTGGGAAATGCCCTTTGGAATTTATAAGCAGCAGCTTTCCTTGACCTTTAAAGAAAAAAGAACCCTTTGCAACTGCATTATTTATCACAGTGCAGCTTGTGAAGGAGAGTAATGTGGATATTTTATTGATAATTTGAACTGTCCAAGGAAAAATATTGATTCTTTAAGTATTAATATTTGGTAAGTGTTTTGTTTAAACTTCTTTAACCAAAACAACTTTGCCACGCAAGAAGTGTAGTGAAGTTCTAAGGCAGCTTTACTGAATCTTTCTTTTCTCCCCTCCCTTCAGACTTGTCACGGAACAGACTGTCGGAGCTTCCAGCAGAAGCCTGCCACTTCGTCTCCCTCGAGACTCTTAATCTGTACCAGAACTGCATTCGATATATCCCAGAGGCTGTTTTGAACTTACAGTCTCTAACATTTCTAAATATCAGGTAACAGTTGTCTTACCAATTTTGCTTTAGCATGAGGAAAGCTTTTGCACTCAGCTCAAACATACTCCTTTGTGACAGAGCATCAGAGCATGGCCACTTATCAGAGCACCTGAAGGGACACAGAAACCTCACATTGCTCCACACTGAGTTGAAAAGCCTCTGATCAGCCTTGATACTTGATATTCAGAGTTTGCTCACACATAGATAAAACAAATAATGAAGAACAGCCTTATGGAACCACTTTTGTAGTAATTACATTAAAACTGATTTGATCATCTAAATGGAGTGTTCTTTTTGTATGTGTCTTTTATTGCATGAATATTTTTCATTAGACTTATGATTATTTCGTTTTCTTTCTGTCCAAAAGTCGAAACCAGCTTTCAACATTGCCAGTACACCTCTGTAGTCTACCACTAAAAGTTTTGATAGCAAGTAATAATAAGCTGGTTTCAATACCTGAAGAAATTGGACAGCTCAGACAGCTGACAGAGCTTGTGAGTATACACTTGATTTACAACTATTACTGTTCTGCTCTTGGCCTAAGGATGATCTGCCACAGTGTCTCTATGTTTGGTTTTGTATAGAAGTGTTAGAAAAGAGTTTTAAATACCCTGAGATTTTAGAAGAATTTTCTGTGAGGGAAAAATGCACTGGAGACCAACTGATCCATGTCAATTTAAATGTCTTCCCTATTCTAGAAAGGAAGGCCTGATGGAATTAGAGTGTTTGCTATGTTTATTTCTGACAGAAAGCTTTTATGTAACAAATTGTGCTGTCTGATATACTATGGAATAGCTTGAAATAAATGTCTAGATCTGAATGCTTAGTCTTTTAAAGCTTTTATTTCCCTTTGTGTTTAAAATGAGAACAATGCTTCATGTCAGCAGTGAGATTGAATGAATATACACATCTGAGGTGTTATATAAATAGCTGGTTTTTCTTTCAGTCTCTAAATGCACCTGCATATTTTAGTCATCAGAGACTTAGAGAGGGATAACTCATTCTTTGCTCTTTGTAGGATGTGAGCTGTAATGAAATACAGACAATACCTCCACAGATTGGCAATTTGGAGTCCTTGCGAGACCTAAATGTCAGAAGAAATAATTTGGTGCGTTTACCTGAAGGTGAGAAAACGGCTCTCCACTATAACAGCAGAAACTTCAAACACTCCTCTGTATTCAGTCTCTTTTTCTTCCTCTGAGGACTAGAAACAGCTTAATTGTTTTGTGAAACACATAATTTTGTACCCTTGCTTTTTCTTGCACTCTCTTAATCTTCTGAATTGTATGTTTGTTTTCTATCTCCAGAGCTTGCTGAATTGCCTTTGATTCGATTAGATTTCTCCTGCAATAAAATAACAACAATACCAGTTTGTTATAGGAACCTCAGACATCTTCAGACCATCATGTTAGAAAACAACCCTCTCCAGTCCCCCCCTGCACAGGTAAACTGCAGCTACAAAATCAGATTGCTAGTTCAGCTAACAAGGGCACTAAGTTATAAATTGAAGGATTATATTACATATTTGTTATTTAAGAACAAGCAAACTTTAAATACATTCTATTGTCTACAAGTGTTAAATATATAGCACAGCTTGAAAAATCCCTTTCTTTACTGTATTAATAGTCTCTTTACAAAATTTCAAAAATGGAATATTACAAAAAATTTCACTAATGTTAGCTTGAATATTTCTGCTTTCAGCATAGGAGAAAGGAAACTGTTAGGCAAGACTAATTTTCTGTCACTTAAATGTCAAAATTTTGACTGAGGCCTCAGTGCTGCAGTTTACTGATCCACTTTGCAGCAGAGTACTTAAATTGGTCTTTGAGCTAGAAACTGCAATATTGTTAATGACTAATTTGATTTTCAGTGTGCATATACGAACCCTTGAGTATTACAGGTTCTACTCTGAGCTGCTGCATCGGAGTCAAGAGGGGCACTTGCTGAAACTTGTCGTTTCAGTAGGGTTTTGCTTTCCTTGTGAAAGCAGAGACAGCTGTTACTGCCTTCATTGACTACAAATTTGAGCTGGCCTTGGCAGTCTGCCACTGCCATTCAAATATGGGCATGGGTGGGATGCATCTGTTCTGATGCCAAGGGTATAAATTCTGGTACTTGTAAATGCTCATGTCTTGTTTGCATGATGAAATTTCAGCATCCAGCTGACAGAGTTGCCTGCAGACCAGATGTACTTGGAGGACAGCTTCCATTTGTCTACCACAGGCATCCCATAATGCTCCACTATAGCTGTTCCTCTAAAATGCTGTGATAGTAGAATAAAAGATACATTGGTTGATGTAAATGTGGTTATTTATTAGTATTCCTAATTGCATCTTGGATGTCGGTAGTGTACTTTGAAAATATATTGTCAAATTATACTTACTTAATTTTTAAATTTTTTTTAAGATATGTATAAAAGGAAAAATTCATATATTTAAATACCTGAACATAGAAGCATGCAAGATAGCTCCAGACTTGCCTGATTATGATAGGAGACCCATGGGATTTGGATCATGGTAAGTTTTTCACAAGCCACATTCCCAGTTTTAATGGCATCCAGGAAAATTTTGTCAGTCCACCATGAGTTTATTTTAAAAAACAGATCAAGGATTGTTCTTTGGCAAATGCATTGAGGGGGCTTTGAAAAATATTGTTTATGGTATTTCATGGTGCATTCTAGTAAGGTACCCGTGTGTAAGAACTGAGAACTGGTTCGGGAGATGACCTGGGCAGTGTCATGGGAAAGGCAGTGTCAGAGCTGATATGCAGTAAAAAGAGAATAGTAATAAACAATACAGGAGGTATGCTCCCATGTTGTTAACATCTATGTTCAGTTTACAAGATCTTAATATTTTCCACAGACTTACTGAATCATATCCCAGCTGTGAATTTTAACCTTTTGTACAGAATTTTGTAACGGCTGTGCTCAAACCGCAGGTGTAAATGCTGATCTCCACCCCGTTAGTAAACTGTTATTTCTGGCAAGCTTTCACTTGGCACTGCTGCTTGGCATTGTAACACAAATATTGGAACAGTCAGCCATATCAGCTGCTAAATTAAGATGTCTAGCAAAAAGCAGGAGTTAAGTTTTATTTCTGTTACTGATACAGAAAAAAGGGAGTCAGTGAAGTATGAAACTGAATATATATAAAAATTACTTCTGTCATCTTTGAAGGTGGTAATAATAATATGTGGAAGAGTAAATTGCTGAAGGATGTACTGCTGCCTTAGCAGCAATAAAACACAAATCAGGGGGCTTCACAAGAAATCATCATGAGTCAGATTTATGAAGAAGAATTTGCATGAGGGTCTGACAGAGTGATTCCTCATCAGCACTGAATGTCATAAGTTACTGTTCTAGATGAGGTCAGCATATGAACATGTCAAGGGTTAATCAATTTCCAATACAAGCTGGTGCAGCTGGTTTCTGCATAATACTGAGGATACTGTCCTTTACCTGAAAGGAAAAGGCTCTAAATGAGGAAATGATCTGTTTAGCTCTAACATAGTTTGTTAATTTTTAAGAGAAATTCAAAATCAAGTGTTTATGTATTTTTGAGCTTCCAGTTAACTTTAGTGTTAGATGTAAAACTTTTCAAATTCTTTGAAAAGAAGGGAGGCTAAAAGAAAATTTGTATCAAAACACTTCCGGATTTTTGAGTTCATTAATTTACAGTAATTGTTCAATTTACAACAAGGTGCTCAGGAGATGCTGAAAATATTGATTCATTTAAAATGGAATTCTACTGCAGATGGATTTTTCTTTGACCCGTTTTAAAAATATATGTAAGTTCTATGAACTGTTAGCATAATTATGGTTCTATTGTCAGTTATTCAAATTCAAATAGCTCTTTAACTACATTGGGTGACTTCATAGTCATTCATTTTTCTTCTTACCCAGAAGAAGGGAGTTATTTTTTTCTTTGGCTCTTTTTCTTTCTGATGGTTTATTATGCAGATGATCTTTCTGTTCAAATACAGGGCCATAAAAGTGAATTTGAGTTAATCAAAACTCATGCAGATTCAAGAGCTTGTCTTTTAGTCTACATCTGCATAGAAACAGATGCATAGCTTAATGTGTCTCATCTGTAGCCTCCATCCCTCCTGGTACTTCTTTGCTATTTCATATCTATTTGAAAACTAAAATAGGCCTTGATAGTAGTCTGTCAGTCTTCTATTAAGATAGTAATAATAATAATAATAAAATTTGAAAATAATTATTTCCTGAAAGTGGAATTTCAGAGAGAGCAGCAACTTGAGAGCCATGCCAGTGAGAAAATGACCTGCAATTTAGTTACGATGGGGTGAAGCAATTGGCTTCCTGAAATTCATTCTTCCTTGTGCATTATGTAGTAATTGCTGCTGCAGTTCTCCCTGGGGCATCGAGTGCCAATAGGACAGTTGAGCCATTGTGAAATGCCATCTGCAGCCAGATCAGACAAGTCCCATTGTCTCTTTTACTGTAGCTATCTGCAGCAGTTGCCAGAGTTGACATCTGTGATGGCTATACTGCTGAATTACATACTTTCTAAGCCCAGAAATGTAAAGAACTGTATGCCTGTTTGGTTATTTGTATTGTAACACTAGGCACATGTCTAATTCCTTTGTCTAGACATGTCATTGACAAAGCTCTGTAAATGAAAACTGTACTCCTACAGTTATTACATCATGATATATCTGAAATACTGTTCAGCTTACTGCAGTTTCTTATGTAATTATGACACAGAAGACATTTATGTAATACATGCTGCAAACTTTTAGTGGAAGTAGTATATTCTTTATTCTTTGTGATTTTGTATATATTTATACTTATTTATGTAAAAGTTTGTTTGACAGTGGTTTTCAACCAAAAGATACGAGTAGTAGAAAATGAAAGTTTGACTAGCTAAACGAAGAAATATGAGACCAGTTTGCAGTTTGCTTTGTCATAATTTCTCTTTAGGAAATGTTTGAAGGGTGGATCTATCCTTTGAATCAGTTTAGCTCTGAAAGCCAGGCAGTGGCAGGTAACAGCTGAGTGACAAGGATGGGGAGCTGTCAGCACATGTCTCCTGCTCTATTGTAGCAAGTGCAGTGTGAGGTTTTCAGACTTGCTGAGCTTGTGAACACACTGCAAGTGTGCCTGGTGGCTTATTCTGCTGCTGTTCTGTAATGCTGAGAAGCTTTTGGTGGTGTTTCTATCACAGTAACTAAAACTGTGTGTTTGACAGCCACGAGGAGCTCTATTCCAGTCGTCCATATGGCGCACTCGATTCTGGCTTCAATAGTGTGGACAGCGGAGACAAAAGATGGTCAGGGAATGAAGTAAGTTTTACAACTTTATTTTTGTTGAGTGCAGTATTGTACAGTAAAGAAAACGAAATGTATGCATCTTCAAGCACATTCCATAGGTAACATGCATGTGCTGGTGTGCAGGTTGCCTTAAGCCAATATGACTTGTTTTATTGGAGAAAAAAAAAAGGTTAATTTTATATGGGACAGACCCCAAGTTGGAAGTATTAACATAAATGTATAAAACAGTGCATGAGAGGTTAATTTACTGGCGCATAAAAAATGAGAAAAATAGGGTTTCTTATTATAAAAATTTGGTAACACTATCATATTACAATGATGAGTCAACTGATAAAATAAATCTGAACATGAAAATTTAGCTTTGGAAATCAGCTGGAAATTTTGTCTTCTTCCTTTGTTTAAAACATTAAAATCTGTTTGCTATTTACAAAGAGGAAAATAGAATCTCTTAGCAAAAAGATTGTCAATTATTATTGCCAGGAAGAAGTTCCCTTTTCCTCTTGGAGCAACTAGAAAATAGCCAAGACCTAAAGTGTCACAGTGAGCTATCTGCCATACTTGCACTTCTATCTTGATTTTAGAGAAGGTGCTAGGATTTTCCATCCTGGGATGTTTTCAGTCACGTGCAGGTACTGCAATCAAAACTGTAGGCAGCCGGTTTCTAAAGAAAGCTCAACTACATGTTTTTTTAAAACAATACATTATAGCTGTCTTTTGATTTAAATTAGTGTTTTGTGGTTGTAAAACAGGGCAATTGAAATACAAATCAAGAACAAATCAAGAATTAATAATTAGAAAATTATGTTTTTGAAGAGAAATGTTTCCAGGCTTCACTGTTTGTTTTCCAAAGCCAACAGATGAGTTCTCAGATCTCCCATTACGTGTGGCAGAGTTCACCAAAGAGCAGAGACTGAGAAGAGAAAGTCAGTACCAAGAAAACAGAGGGAGTGCAGTTGTAATTAATGGTGGAGGTAAGTAGTGACCTTTGGCTAACTGTATTTATTTATTCATCATTATTAAAGTTCCAGATTGTTTCTTACAGATTGTTAAAAGAGGGAAAAAAACCCAGAAAGGTCTAGGTGGAATAACATGAAAACAGTGTTTTGAAAACTGTAAAAATACTGTTGTTTTAAGGATGTTAAAGGCAAAATCAGATAGCAGAATTGGTATTTTCTTGAAAACTTTGTCAGCTTTTGCCTATGTCCTATGTTAAAGTCTCAACTGCTTCAAATGATATTTTGGAATATTGAATTTGGAATATTGAAAACTTGAACACCAAGTGCATCGTGTTTTGCTGTTTGAGCTTCTGGGGAAAATTTACTGCAGTTGTAAATTGCCAGTGCTCTGTGCCAACTGCTCTCAGAACGGGATGAGCAATTTTGTCAGGGAGTCTTACATTTCCGACTGGTACTAGTGTCTCATTCCAGTTTTAGATTTTAATCCAAACTGTAATACCATCCAGGAGGGCCTGGTGTTTGTGAGTGGCAGTGCTTTGTTTTGCTTTCTCAGTTGGTGTCGTGCAGTCTCACAGGATCACCTTTGTAGTTGTTCAAGAGGTGATTGTGCTTTCCATGTTTCTTGATCTCCAGTCCTCTTTCATTTTAACTTCCAGAAATCTGCTGCTACCAATGTCTCCTTTTGTTTATATGCCTTATTTTAACAATCTTTCAGGTTTGTTTTTTCATTTCTTCTTCTCCATTGTTCTGCAATACTTATTATTAAATCTCATCTGCATATACTTTGATTGATTCTTCTTCTTTGTCAGCTGCTACCTGTTTTTCCTTTTCCCTGATGGCTACAGTTCATTTTTTCTACATGCTGCTCTTCCTAGCTACATCTAATTTCCTATGCCCAGCTCCCACTTTTTCTTCTCTCTTCCCTCCGCCTCCCCATCTTTATCCATCTTCTTTTCTTGGTCTTAGTCTTCTGTGCCACAATTTTTTGTTTTCTTTGCCACCTTCTAGAAATATCTGAAACTTTGTCATTAACTCACACTCTTTCACACCATAATGGGAAAAAAATTGAATTCAAACAGTTAAATTCTGGCAGTTAGAAGAATTGAAGACATGGTTTCATGGGGAGCATTGGGCAGCCTTAATAACAGGTAGTGGTGCCAGTTCCGCCTCCAAGACTAACTTTATTTTGTTCTTTCGCTTTTGTGCACCAGGGATTTCAAAATGCCTAGCAGACTTTTAAGCTGGAGCATGATCAGTTCATGAGTAGGTGTATCAGAGAGGGGCACAAACCGTAGCATGTGGCTGTCAGACATCCAGATGCTTTGCAGTTTTGTGTTCCTAACACAAAACTCTACTATCTTTCACCTTTTTCTGCATTATTGTTGTTATAATCATCATCATTATTTAATAAGCAAGCATAGGAAGAAGGGAAGTTTGGGTTTTTTGGGCTGTTTTAAGATTTGAAACTGAGATGGAAATTTAATGAAGCCACAGTATATAGGAATGTAGTTTTGGATGGTTGTAGTAGCAGAGGGGGTGGCTTTGGCAGTAACAGTTGCTAGATTGTGTGGTGAGGCAAAGAGAAGTCTGTTGTAGACAAGCAGGAAAGGGGCGGGGGAGTAAAGAAGAATGTCTGCAAGAGTCTGGAGCAAGTTTGAGGAGAGTTCTAAGAAAAAATAAGGCTCTAGTGCTCTGAAAGGGAACTTATACTTTCCCCTTCATCCCCAGTGCACTATTTTTCACCAGGGGTGTTTGCTTAGTGTCATGACTTAGAATCCTGGGGCAGAATGTGAAAAAGCAGTGACAAGTGAAAAATTTGCCCTACATAGTATCTTCCACACAAACAAAAATCAATACCAGCCAAGCTGTGCTGTTTCTTGCTCTCATTTCAGTGATTCCTAATTTCTTTTTTCATTCTTCTTTTAAAATAAAATTGTAGGTGTGTTACATTGTTTTAGAGGAATTTTGTTATTTTCTGTAGTGTTGCTCATTATTTCCACATACACTTCTTATATTTATTGTATTTGAATCCAGATAACTTAGGTGTGCTGTTCTCTATTCTGTTGTAGCAGTAATAGTAGTCGAAGGATCTGCCATATCCATTCTGATTTTTCTGACAGAGAACCAAGAGAAAGAGAAATTATTCCAAAAATATACACAGTTCATTGTACAGTCTTGATATTAGCTGAAATATTTTGATATATAGTATTCGGTTTTGAAAAGGAAATACAGTATTTACTTTTTCAGTCACTGCAAAAGTATTTGCAGCCAGCAGTCTAAAACTACCTGCCTGATACATGTTCCTTGTTGCTTTTTAAAAGGCATAAATTTTACAATTATTTCAAAATTTGTTGGTCTGGTGTTAGTGGGCCTGGCAAAATCCAAGAGCTTTCAGACTGAGCTTTCCCAGATGGCAGAAAAAGCAGGGCCTTCGTTCCTGACCATGCTGCATTGGTGGGGTTTGTTCTGTCTCGTGGGTTATCTGATTGTGGGTGTTTTCTCTGTGTATGTTTGTCAAGTGGAACACGATCTCGATCAGATCGACTACATTGACAGCTGTGCCACGGAGGAGGAGGAGGAGGAGGTGAGGCAGCCCAAGTGCCAGGACTCAGACAGCCTCAGCTCCCAGTTCATGGCATACATCGACCAGCGGCGCATCTCCAATGAGGTGGTGCTTCCTTGTGTTCATTTGATTCACACACCCCAGCAAAGCCCTTGGGAAAACTCTTCCCTCTTAAGTCATTTGGATGTTACACTTCTGGAGAGTCCTCAGAAACTGAACCTATAGAAACAGATTTTAGCCAGATCTTACCCTTCTGTGTTCTATAGTCTTAATTAATACCTATGTACCCACTTACACAGTTCAGTGCCTCACTGTACAGACTATATGAATAACTTGTCTGAAAAAATCTTTGTGGCTGCTCTGCTTAAACAGTAACTATGGTGCTGTGATTCAGATGTATCCTTTCAAAGTTCTGTGTGTTTTGAAGCAGAAAGATACTTGCTATTTGAAGAAAGAAAGAAAAAAAAGTGTCTCTTTAGCTTTTATTACTATGTTTAAAATCAGTCACACAGATATGAAAGATGCATTCATTTTGCAAAGCTCATGAATTCAGTTTTAGATCACAGAAGCTGAAGCATAGACACAAGAGCAAAACTTAGTTCTAAGTAAACTGTAGGCAATGCAACCCAAAGACTCCTTGCTGTAGACAGGGAAAAGGCATTGGTCAGCATCACAACAGCTATTCCTTGGGGTCTGTCTAGTCATAAAAATTTAATTGCTTTTAGCTGAAGGAGTAGTTTCTCTAAAAAGACAGTCCAAAATACTCTACTGCTTAGGAAGGCTGACTGCAATATACCAGCAGGCATGAGTGAAAATTGGCATGTTAATCTTGAAAAGTTTCTATTTTCTTATATTAATGGGTGTCAGTGGAAGCTTTTCAGTAACACCAAAGGCAATATGTCTCTGTTCCCAATAGGATAAATTATTTCATTGCTCAAATTAAACTAAAGTGTTCTTATTAATCCCAAAATTAATGTTTTGCTTTCTTAGTTCTTCGGGGACCTGTCTTTAGAATGTCATAAAAGACCACCAGCTCTGTGTTTCTGAGAATCCAGTCTTCATTGCTCTACACTCATAGAGTTAAATTCCAAAGAACATATTTACATTTCAATACAAATTTTATAGCTACATGAACTTCTCTGTATGATTCATAATACTGGAGGTTTTAAACTCCTAAAGTTATGAGCAGGCATATTTAATCTTGAAACTATTATTTATTAATTTGGAGAAATAAATACGAATGAGCTTGCTTGGTTGGAAATTAACATCCCTGACTTGTGTTTTGTGCTTCATCATCAGGTGTTTTAAATACCAGTAGTTACAGATGTAGCTCTACAAAGAGATTGTTTGGCATTAATGTGCAGTTTTCTGAATAAATTGCTAGCTTAGTCTTTTGGGATTTTTTTTTTGCTCAGAGCTCACCAGTAAAGCCTGTATCCATCAGAGAATTTCAGAGAACAGAGAATACAAGACAACATTTACACCAAAACAGGTAAGAATTACTGTGGCAACAATAATTTTATCCAGAATTTCATTATGAATGCGGAGCATGTATTTACTGAACATGTTTAGAAAATGGAATTGTTTTCTGTTGCTTTACCAGAAGTGTGTATGGCACTTTTTTGATAAGTTATTGCTCCAAATTAGGAATTGGAATTCTAATAATCACAGTGAGCAAAAGGCAAAACTGTTCTATGCCAGTGCTTGACTTAAAATCAGTTGGTTAAAGAAATCTACATAATTAAAGTGCATATTTTTAAACTGACTTAATATCTGCTTTTTGTGATTTAATTTGTGATTTGATTTAATAGTCGATTTAAGGTGTAGTGCATAGAGGACCAAAGGAATAAAGGTATTTGCAGGAAGGCCAGAGATACTGTGGAGTATCCGATGTGCCATGAGGACATATTCTTGGTTGACTCCTGCTGGTTTTGGTATTGTGAAAGATTCATTTATTTTAAAAAGTACCTATCTGGGCCATAATCATGAGCCTACGTCAGCAGAAGGGATAGAATGGAAATCAATTCTGAAAACAAGTTTCTTATTTTGATGAAGTATGCACATGCTCCTTAATGATTACTCCTTAATGATTACTTTAATGATTATTGGAGAGAATGCTTATTTGTAAAATAAAGGTCAGAACTGGACAGAGTATCAGTGAGGGGTGGTTAGGTTTCTGAAAAGAATTTGGGATGTCTAGTTAAAAAAAAAGTAAGATAAGCAAATAAAAGATAAAAAACAAGCAAATTCTTGCAAATTAAAATCGACAGAACCTTTATTATACTACTGAAGTATTTCAGCATTCTGTAGAGTGAAAGTGAATTTGTAGGGACTCCACAGAAAACCAGCCGTGTTCCAAGTTGTACTCAGAATGTTTGGGGGGCAGGGGAGTGGTGGAAAAGACAACTGCTAGTCCTAAGTATTTCATTACTTATGCTGTCAGTAGAAACCAATTTTTAATGGATTCTAAAATGGTATTGAAAGAGCAAATGAAACCAAGATTAGTGTGTAAATTTTTCCAGAGTTTTGGCAACATTTATATAGGCATTCTGAAATGTGCAGAAAACGTGCAGATACAGTAGCTGTACTGATACAAGGGAGGATAACTATTCCAGCATATGTCAGCAGTCCTTATCCTGTCCACAAGTCAGATATAAAGTGATATAGCATTTCTGCCATGTTCTCCCCAAAAAAAGTGAGTGCTCTTGGTTTGAAAAATTGATTTTTTGCTTGTTTGTTTACTTTTTTTTTTTTTATTCAAACTTCTGTGGTCAACATGGAATTAATTAAACTTTCCAAACACTGGTTTCTGTGATAAATCTGAAGGAAATAGGAGAAGGCTGTTAGCTGGGGAGAGCTGCTGTTTACATAGACAGATGTTAATGATAAAGGAAGTTGTAGTTCAGTAAGCTATCCAGTGATTTCAAAATTTAACTTAAGGATAGCAGCAGATCTCCAAGCAGAAGTAGTTAATCAGCAATCTGAATGAATTGTGGCTTACTCTTCTGCAGCAGAGTGAAATTATTAAGGCACTAAAACCAGATCATGTTGTTATTGCCTTCAAAATTGTTTAAAAACAGCCATATGACAATGAGTAATATTTTGTATTTTAAGCTTGTATTAGTCAAATATTTTGTAGCAACCACAAGCTGTAAAGTGCTTCCACAGTAATTCTGTGCAAATACCTTGGCAGCCAGCCTCTTCTTTTTGTTTGTTTGTTTGTTTGTTTTTCTTTAGCATGCTAGAGCCATTAAAACTCTGAAAGTTGGATATAACACAGACTTCATCTCAAGAGTACTTATATTAGTTGATTCATTTAAATAAATACAGTTTATGCCTCTGGACAGACTGTGGTGCATTCCTGATGCAACAAAGCTGTGTGTACTCTGCTCTGAACACACTCCTTGGCACTGAGCTGAACCCAGTCCTGTCTGTTCAAAACAGTTCTAAGTAATGAGTTTGTCATGTGGTTCAGTGCTAATTTAAGTAACAGAAGAGACCTGTAACATCTGGGTCTTCCACATCTCATCTCCATGAGGAAAAGGCCCTAAGTGTTCACACAGCCAGCTGGACTGACATTTTTTGGGAAAGCTTGGTTAAGTGTGTCTGTGTTCCACGGCTGCCCCAGGAGCAAAGGTTGCAGAGTTTGGGCTGTCAAGAGTAAGCTCCTTGATTTCCATCAACTTTGTTTCTAGGCAGCAACATGTCAGGGTACATGCTGCAGGCTGTGAACCTTGGGAGTTATTTCAGTGCTAACAGCTGCCTTCTGGCAAAGAGCTGACTGCAAAATTTCTCTCTTACTGTTGATAAGATGGATAAGATCCAGATAGGTTCTTGTTTACTTTGTGTCTTTGAGGGCTTGTGTCACCCTGATTGGTGAGGTGAACAGATTTGTGCTGAAAATACCAAAGGTTCCTGATGTTTAAAATAATTCTGCTATTTTCAGAGCAGAATAAGGCCTGCAATAACCAAAATACTGTCTTAAAAGAGAGCATCCATCTTCGTGTATTTTTAAATCATTTTTAATTCAGCAAGTTATGTTTAATTACTAACTGCAGTTGTGATCTGACTTGGTGTCACAATATGATTTCTTTAGTCTAAATTTCACTTTTGTGATTATATGAAGGTAATTCTTTAGGCATTTCTCTCACAAAACCAGTTGTAATCTAGAGTAGAATTAATTTGACAGTAGTCTATATACATCAGTGGCCAAATCCCCTTCCACCTGGTGTCTTACCTGCAGGGATACAGATGAATTACGAAGACCTGAAACTCTAAATTTGATGCCCGACAGAGAGCATCACCCAGTGCTAAGGAGTTATGTGGACAGGACAGAGAGGTAGGGAAAAAGAAATTGAGTGTTTCTGCTGATTCATTTTATTATTTTCCCCTCCCTCAAATAACCATACTATGCAGTTGTTCCTCTGTATGAGGATCATGTGAAAAATTCCTGGTTTGGTTACTCTTAGAGAATGGGTATAAAGTACTGAGTATCTCAATGTAGTAGGCCAAGTGTACATTCTCCTTGGTACATCTTGTGCTGTGAAAAAATGTTACTACAATTCAGGAGAAGAAATAGAAATAGAAATTACATCACAAAATCTGTCATTCACAGTGAGTCAAATCATCATCACAGCTGTTAGTAGACAGTTACTCTTCCGATTTCATCAGATACTTGTGTGTCACTGACAATTTATGTATGCAAAATTTTTAGATTTAAGATGAAAAGTCTGCTTACTCTCTGTTTTTGCATTTGTCAGACCCCTGCCTGATTCACCTTATTTTCTCTCGCTGTCAAGTCACCACACCCAGGTAACACATAGAATTTGAATTGTTTTCGACGAGTTTGACGTAAAACCAAACTGATGTTGCCCATAAGGCGTGGGCTGTTTCTCCATAAACCACCTGCAGCTCTGGCTTCACAGTCTGATGCCCTGTTTGATTGCAGGTGCCCAGCACGGAGTCGGAGCTGCAGCGCCGGCACATCGAGCGCACGCGGCGGGAGGCACAGCTGGCAGCCCTCCAGTACGAGGAGGAGAGGATGAGAACGAAGCAGATTCAGAGAGAAGCTGTCCTTGACTTTGTTAAGGTGCCTCCTTTCAGTACCTACTTCATACTTTATCTTTTCTAAATCCCTTAATTATAACTAATTGCCATGGTAATTACTGCTGGTATGTTATGCTCCCAGCACTTTATAAAGAATTTGGACAAACAGCATTGAAGTTCATTAAGTGTTGGTGCTGTAGCTTAACACAGGCAAAGCTAGACCTGGGGAGGAAGATGGAAGATGTACCCAAAATGTGATTGTTGTAAAGAACTCTGATTTTTGCATATTTCACCTCATACTTTCAATTTTCATTTTATCTGAAAAGGAATACAGGCAGTTTAATTTTGAAGACAAATTTGGCAGGGAGGAAATAATCATACACACAAAAATACAATGCTGCCTGATCTATTTTGCTTTTTTGTGATAATAAAAGAAGTTAGTTCTGGGTAAAGCATGGGTGCAGATCTATGGTACATCAGGCACTCACTCTGAACACTGTGTCTTCGCTGTCTCTATCTCTGCACTCATGTCTTCTGCTTAACATGCCAGTTTATTTATATGATAGTTGATTTAAATTTGTTTTACTGTTTGCTGCTCTGGTCGCTTACACGAATCTTACCATCACAAATTTAAGAAATGTTTCAGTTAATATTTATTTTGGATTTAGAGTGGTCTGCAGAGAGGCGAAGCATGGTTTATTGCATATATTTAATGTATAAAGTTAGTTTAGAAAAAGGGTCTTAGCTGCCTGAAACTAGGCTTTTCATTAGCGACAACTGTTTTTAGGCCCCTGGCACTATTTTGTAGTAAAGGTGCTTATTAAAAATTCAACTCAGTCTTTTAGTTTAAGCTTATAAGATGCATGTTATTCATTGATGACTCTCCTGGGGTTTTTGGTTTGGATTTGATTTTTGGGTATTTTTCTTCTGTTTCCTTTGTTGTTCATGACCACTTTATTCTCAGCAGTTAAATTCCTCCCCTGAGTTGTATTTTGGTTTCATGATGTATCTTTCATATGCATGATTTTAAATTTTTGTTTGTTTGAATGTGGAATAAAGGCTGATTTTTTACTAATATCAAGGAAGTTTCAGCTCAGTGAACCCAGAGCATGTTCTATTTAAAAAACTGAAACCTCTTTTTTAAAACACTTTTAAGTTATGCTGCTTTGTTGTGAGCTTTTGTTTCTTTGTGGTGTTATTTTAAGTTTTGTTTTTTCTTTCTCTGTGTAGCAAAAAGCCTCCTTAAGTCCTCAGAAACAAAGTCCAATGGATAGTGAGGTAAGAGTCCAATAAGAGCATTAGTAGGGTTGTCAGTGCTTAAATTCCTAGCTCTCCATCAGAGTTATTTTCCTCTTTGTGGAAAATACCTCAAAACTGGATTATAGCATAGTTTTTTCACGTTAACCCTTGGGTTGGGGTTTTTTTAATGGGCTCAGTTTAGTATTTTCTTCTGTTCATGTAGATTGCCTGTCCAAGTGTGTTGTTTTATTGGTTTTTGTATGTTTTCCTGTGTTCTCTGCAGAAATTACATTTAATATTCTATTCTAACCTGCTCCTTGTGAGCAGTACAGTTTATATTCTAACACGAGTATTCAGTCAAGTTACAGTGTTATAGTCATCCTTCACAAATCAGTTTTCCCCCAGTTTCCTCTTCCTAGATCACCAGTTGTCCCAGCAATATTAACCTTTAGAATTTTGAGGGCTGTCAGAAAAAGGAATAAATATTTTTTAAAGTTTTTTTTTCTACTATAGTTTTCAATAATGTAGTATTTATAATTGAAACCAGATCATTCACTTTGTAGTGTTAATCAGATCAGAACTTTTAATATTGTAAGAAATATGATAGTTCTTTAGCAGTGTTTTCCAACTAACTCTTTTGGTTAGAAAATTACCAAAAGTGGGCTAATTGAAGTAGTTTTTTGCTCCTTTTTCTTCTTAATGTTTTTCTGTTCTTAATTTTTTCTTTTAAAATGTCCTTTGTTCTACCAGAGTCAGCGCTGTGAATGCAGTGTTCTGTATTTGCTTGACACAACACAGAAAGCAGAATAATTTATGCCTTTAGTAATACAACTGCACTGTAATTCCTGGGTTATGGGGCTGTGTATTCCTACAGAGTTACAGATACTTCATGGATTGTTTTAAAGAGCTCACAGTGCTGTAAGCAAGCAGTACATGTTCCAGAATGTCTGTCTGTTCACATACCGTGTGTTTCTGACATTGTGTGTGTTTCTGACATTGCTCCATCTCTCCCACCTCCCAGTGTCCCTTTCCATCCAGAAGGTCTCAGCATACTGATGATAGTGCCTTGTTAGTGGTAAGATCCTGCACGAAATGGCCTTTTTCTGTGGCAGATTCTAGAGCATAGAAATGACAACATGTTGTGATTGTCTCAGATTAGACCAACTGTTTTAGAGCTAATCTAAATAGCATAAAACATGGCTGCCTCCTTTGAAAAGTAGCTTATGTCAGACATTTGCTAATAATACCATGATGTTTTTCCACAAAATAATTAAAGCTTATATTTTGTTTGAGAGCAGAAATAAAAATAATGATATCGTAAAGAACAGTTTCTAAAATGAAAAATTCACCTCTAGTTGTTCTGATTTGATTTCTTTGCCATTCAGCTTGATTCCTAATTGATGTGCTCTTCAGTGTAAAGGAAGCGATTTTATGCTTCGTACAGCCTTCTGCTTTAACTTATCTGTGTCCTGCACATGGGGATTGGAAACACGTGGCACGCAAAAAGTGTTCTACTTATGAATGCTACAAATCATTAAATACTCCTCATGCAGTTGTATTGTTTATTAGTGCAAATGTCTTAAAAATAATATATTTTGAACACTTATCAAAAACAAGTGTGCACATATTTCATGTTTTATGCTATTTCTTCCTTTGTGGCATCTTAGCAATGTAGCATGACTAAAAAATCTAATTAATGTCATAATCTAATTAATGTCTAGAAAATTAAAAATACACCCGATTTGCCTGCTGTTGCATGACTGCATGCCTAGAATTTATTTTCTTGATTTATATGCTTCCATTATCTGCCTAAATTTTCTTTAGGCAGTGCTCTTGGTTAGAGTGTCTCTCTCCTGAACATGTTGGTCAAGATATTTACTGTGTCTTTATTCAGAATTTTTGGGTTTTCTGCTTTTGTAAGACTAGCACTTTGTGGGTGAGAAAGAAAGCTTAAAATGTTAGAGAGAAATGTAATAGTCATGTGGCTGTTTTGAGAAATCAAGTACTTTGGGTTGAGATGATTCTCTGTTGACAGTCAATTTGTCTTTGGAACATATTTCAAAGACACCTGTAGGAACCCCAGTTCTATTAGATTTTGTGATCACATGACTTTTGTTGTAACTTAAGATACAGAATTTTCAGAAACTACATTGAAACCAGCTCCCATTGCTATTTATTTCCTTTCTTGTCTTTAACCAAGTTACATTGTTTTACTTCACAAAAAGAGTGACCAGACTAGCAGGGAAGGATTAAAAGCAATAATTTCTCTGTTCATTTTTCTTCTGATTCCTCCCATTTTTCAGCAGCACTAAATTATAATAGTATATTAAATGCTGGGGTTTCTGATCTGTAGCTCTCTTCTATGGTGGAAATCCACACTGTGCCTAATGATCACATATGCCAGGGCAGCTGTTTCTGGCAATTACTGTAACTGAAACATTAGGCCCATATTGGCTCATGAATTTGTACCATCTTTTGTTTACACAAATGTATTTTACATGGTAAAAACTTGTTCAACATCAAGAAAATGGTTATCAGTTTGCATTTAAAAATAATAAGAGTCTACATTGCTTTTACCTTTTTATATTCTATTGCATTTCAATTGACATTTTCCCTATCCTTTTGGGTTTGATATTTAGCTAGGTCTAATTTCTGAGGACGTAAGGACAAGTTTTTAAAAGTACTAAATCTAATTTGTAGTTAGAAAGCAAATGAGCTTTTATTTTACTACTTTGCTCTTCTGGCATTGTTACTGCTTTAACAAAAAATTTCATTGTGAATCTCCTTTTTAAAATCTTCAGTATTTCTTTTGGTCATCTTTTTGTTCTCTTTAATCACTAATTAAAATTAAAATGTATTCTTGTTGCACAGATTACTCTGACCATTTCCTTCTGTTTATAAACAATGTCAGGACAGTTGGTTTGAAGTCCAGAATGATTGCCCATACCATTGTGAATGTTAATGGTTCCGTTTAGTTGTAGTTGCTGCTGCATACCTGTGATTTGAAGTGGAATCTGGCTGTAGAACTTCATTGCACAGTGTGGTGGATTTCTTTGGGTTGACCTGTGATAGATAACCAGACTAAAATGTTGTTGAAGAAGTGAAATCACTGGCGTCTCTGAGAAAATACAAGTTTTATGTTAGTCAGAACCTCTTGCTGTTCTGACAAGGATAGTTCCATTTGTTACAGTGGAGATTACTTTTAGAACTGGTATCAGCTTTCAGACTTGGCTAATGACTTGGCTTCAGCCTTCATTGCTTCTAAATCTCATTTTTCTCCAAATAGTTTCTTGTTTTCTTCTATACTGTCCCTTACAGTGTTAGTACTGTCGAAGGGGGAAAAAACCCCAAAACATCCTCTCTAACTGCTGCTCAGTTTCTCTGTTGTGAAGCCCACAAGGTACTTCAGAAGCATCAGGCAGCTGCTGTGACCTCTTCCTCTCACAACCTTTGTGTCATTGCTGCCTTATGCTCCCCTCCTTGTGTTGTTTTCTCGTTGTGTTCTCAAATGTGGCCTGAGTATATCATCCTACTGTTAGCACATAGGATCTCTGAAACATTTGAAGTTAAGACTGCGTTTAAGTTAAGCACCAGAGTGTTACAAATAATAATGGTATGGGTAAAGTAAGCAGGACTTGACTTATGCAGACTTGTATGCTGGAGTTTTCTCTCAGACCATTGGCATTCATTTGTGTATTCAAATGTTTAATAACCGAATTCTCTTAAAATATCCTTATTTGGTTCATGCAGAGTTCTGGTTGGGCTCTCCTTTGGCACTGCCTGTATCTGCCGTTGTTTCTGGCACAGGGAAATTTTTGTGACTTCAGTGCTAGACCTAAAGACTGTGTGCAGCAAGTGCAGAGGGTGGTCTAAGTCTGAGCTGCAGTATCCTGGCTCCTTTAGTGTTGTGGCTGCCTTTTCTCACAGTTGTTCTTTGCATCACTTCTTCCTTTCTTCCCTCTCTTTCTTTCCTTACTGTCCCTGACAGAATGGCTTTGAGCCTCTCTTTGTGTTTGAGATTGACAATAACACCAATACCATTAAAAGGAGGCCAGGCACTCACAAACAGGTGAAGAGCATGCGGTGTGTTGGTGTTGTGATTGTCCCTGTGCTGTGCTGTGTCCCCTCCCTCTGCCCACTGCTGGGTGTGTGCATAGTGACCACTTCTTGCTAGTCTGTGTCAAGCTTGCCCTGCTCTTATCATACAGGAAAAAGCAGATGCATTGATGTTACAGAGCACCTAGTTCTGGTTTGTTTCAATGTTCTCATGTGCTAGCTAATGTGTTGTCCAAGTCAAGTGATATTTGAAACTCTTAAAAAAAAAAAAAAAAAAAAAAAAAACCCCACCATTTTGGCTCTGCCCTGCTCTGGAGAAAGAGGCAATCTTGAGGATCAGCTGTAAATCTGTACAGGGCCTAAAAACTTTTGTGTTTAAGGCTTGCCCTGAGTATAAACCTTCCCTTCTAGTCCTTCTGGCTGTGCTGTTCTGGAATGGCAGAAAAATTGCAAATGCTTTTAAAACTAACTCCCAAATGTGTCTTTCACTACCTGTAGAGTTTCTAGGTGTCATTTGATGGTCTTTCCTGTGCTGAACTGTCACTTTGCTGTTTGAATGCTGTTTCAGAAAGCATAGTGAGCCATTCAGTCCTTAAATGTTAAAGTTCTCATGGTGCTTTCAGTGAGACACAGGATTTGTCTCTCTAGATCCACCTGTCAGTGACAGATGGGCATAACTACAGCCCCTGTTCTATAAACAGGAAAAGTTATTTATTTGGCTAGTTTTGATATTGGTCATAATTGAAATGTGACTGCACTTTATTTGTGGCAACACTGTAAATCCTGGCACTGACATCTTCCCCAAGAGTGAGATTTTACTTGCAGAATCTCATTTACTTTGTGTATAATCACAAGGACCAGTTGTTAGTGTTTGTGGCAGATACAAAGTGTGTATTACTGAACCTCTGTATGTGGGTTTCCCTGATTTTTCAGACATGCATAACATTCTCAAAACACTAAAAAGAAAGCTATTTATTTTTAATTATGTCCTAGAATGGACTGTTGTATAGTAAAATTTCTTTTTTTCTGACGGCATAGGTGTTACTGAAGAAGCTTTTGCCTCACAGTTCTTAATTCCGTTTTAAATGTCACTGTATTATATGTAAAAGAAGCACTATACCTCCCAGAAAGTTCAGGAGGATAGGAAGTAACAAACTAAACTATAGTTCAGCAAGTATCTATGTGTTGCTTGTTGAGTGTTTCTAAGAATGTGTTTGTGATCACCTTTTCACTTTTACTTCCACCTTTGTGTATGACCTGTCAGCTACTCACTAACTCTGCTGCTGCCTTCTCTTTCTTTCTGCATTCAGTCACTCTCAGGGTTGAACCAAGAAAGCTGTGCTACTACCCTGCCTAGTGCCTCTACCTTCAGTCCTGTCAAGGTACCTCTTGCTATTATCATTCACCACTAGAGCCAACAAAAAAATCTTCGATCCACACATCATTTTAAACAGGTGTTAGTCTGTCAACATCTAATCAAAAGTTCAGGTAGGGTATGAACCTGATTCACCTGATTAAACTGTAGGATGTATTACCTCATCTTAGCTTTAGGCTGTGTCTACAGGAGGCCTGATCTATAAAACATGGTAACGAGTCTCTGCTCCAAGGGGTTCTTGGTTGTCTTTGATGTTGCTTTTTCTGTACAAGATCATTTACTCTTGATCAAGTTGAGTTCATCAAAAGTACACTTGTATTCTTTGCCTGTTTCTTTCTTTTCTGTGGAAACTGTTGTGCTGAATTCATTCCTCACAAGAATTCATTAGTCTGTGTAAGCACTGTGATGTAACCACAGTGTGTTTCACTGGGACAGATGTTCAGTAAATGGCAGTTCCACATTAGCAAAGGTGTCAAAGAGGAGTATCTGCCGGGGCTGCTGTATTGCCAATTCTGCATGTTGCTTAATACCTGTTTTTTGGTGTCCCCTTTGCAAAGAGCACTTCTCAGTTTGGGTTGGAAGGAAGAATGATCTGTCATTGCATAGTCAGTCCTGTTTCACCATTATTTTTCCTAAGGAAAAAGATCGCTTGTATCATTTCTGTAAAAGAAAAAACTTTGTCTCTTCAGAGATAAGACTTGGGAAACAAACATACAGTGGTTTTTCTTATTTCTGGTTATTTTTCTGAACACATTTAGATGGCTGGAGCTTTTCTTAAAGCACAGCAAACTAAAATGTAGTCAAAGCTTTTCCAGATTAGGACCATTCATACTCTTCTGCTTTTTTGTTCACAGAGTGATGACAGATCTACCATCTCCCCTGGCTCACCTTCTGCTCAGACAGGTAACAGGGACAGGAAAAAAATTCTGAAAAATAAGATCAAATGCCTGCTTGCTTATTTGTCCTATGAAGAAAGGGGAGTATCTGTTCCTACCTCTGTCTGTGGCACTGCTGTGTGTGAGAATTTGCCAAGTTACTTGGGTCTCCTTCGAAAAACACTAGGGAAGAGACAACAGGGATGAAGTATGTCCTTAGGAAGAGCATAGGGTATGGCTGGTTTAGGCCTTCATAGAGGCTTGGCACACAGATGCATTCAGCAAGAGTCAGAACAGTTGTTGGAATTGGTATGTGGAATGTGCTTTGCATGCAAGTGTCCTTGGAAGTGCCTTTTCCTGCTCTGCTTTTATCATGCATGGCTGTAATTTATTTTGTCATCATTACATTAAAATTTTTGGTTTGTTCTTTTTAATTACCACATTGCTGTACCCATTTCCTATTTAAACTCTAACCATTTCCTTCTTCCTCCTTCCTTTCCTGTGCCTTTCCACATTTGTTTAGTCCACCTTTCCCCTCCATATCCTGGCCATGCAGCCCCGCCTTCCTATAGAAACCCTTCCCAGCGACCTGAGAGTTTCCTTTTCCGAACAGCTGTCAGGGATGGAGCCAAGAAAGGTAGGTTACATAGCTCAGAAATCAGCTAGTTTTGCTACATTATATTGACATCTGCATTACCTGGGGCTTGCAGTGTTTTGTTACTTCAGGTCTTTATCATCAAACTACTTTTAGAATTCCATTTGTAGACAGATGACATCAGCTATGTTGTGAACAAACAGGGTTTTATTTGGAGTTGCCCAATATTCTTTTGTCATATCTGTAGAAGTGTGAAAATTCACTCATCGTGGTCTGCACATACACCTTTGCCACACAAGCCTTCAACAACTTGATAATTCTTGCATTGCCCAGTAGCCTGTAACAGAATTGCAATTTCTGGAGAAAGACAGAACCATTTCAACATACTGTGTGTGGCAAAACGTTGTCATCATTTGTGCACGACTATTACCTAACAGAAAGATCAGAATCTAAACAGTGAGGCAATCGTGTTGACATCTCATTTAGGTTGGTAGACCATTAGTTTGATTAATAATCAAAGGTAAGACAGAGATTTGTGAAAAGGAATGTAATGTACCGATTTTGGAACTTTGTGTGCGGTGCAATAGCAAATAACACAGAGCCAAACTGTGCTTAGTGATGTTCTTTCCTTCATGCTGCTGTTTTAGCTGTTTCTTCATCCTCTACCTGTGCCTTGTCTCCTGCTAATGATTCTGCAGACCCTCGAGTGAGACAAAACTCCAAACAGCGGGAGGAGGAGCTGGAGCTGATAGAGCAACTACGCAAGGTCAGTGCTGCCAGGAGCCAGAACATGAACGTGGCAGGAAATGCACTTTGTGACCCTGCTAAATCTCCTTTGTCTTATGGACAAGTTTCACTGAACCGATAAGGGGCACAGTTGACCAAAATTAACTGGTGTGGTACAGTCTCTGCACGTCTTTCAGATTGGTGCAGTAGTGTTCACTTGGTTGTTTGTGGTAGGTAAAGTCAGCTTCAAATTCTTTGTAATAAGCTATGTCAAGTCCTGCTCTTAAATGTCCATTGAACTCTGCTTTTATGTGTGCTTCCTTTCTTCCTTATCAGCTTTCACACTTGTAAGGAGCTCCCTGGAAAGTTACCTTTACTGTCTCCTTTTAATGTCTTTTTTTAAATTCTTTTTTGCTATAAAGCTGACAGATAAGCAGATGGAGTGCAGAGACTGCTGCCAGTCATGCTGCCATCATGGTTTCTTTGTGTTTTCTAGATCTGTTATGTTGATTCTTGCCTTATCCTTAGTTAAGTGCAGAACACTTGAGCTAGAAATGTTTCAAATGTTTATGCTTTTTATCTGCCATGAGGCACCACACTCCAGGTTTGTGCCCAGATACAATAAACAGGAATATTGGAAATGCCTCATGGCATTAAAGTACTGCTCTGCTTTGCCCCGGACTTGTTTCTGCAGAGCGTGAAGAGATTTCTTGAGGTGCTGTAATTAATTGTTGAATTTTCCCTATAAATAAGAATATACTTACTGAAGGTAATCTTAAAAGCCATAAGCATCCCAGATAGAGAAAATTCCCTCTCTTTGGGGGGAAGTTTTGAAGTAAGGATGGTCTCCTTTCTCTAAAGGAGAAAGGTAACTACCTTAGATAAAACTTGTTTGCAGAGGGTGCTTGCAGACCATCTCTTATGGCATCTCAGATTGCTTTCTGTATTGTCTGTCTCTTATTCTGTTCTCCAGGTAAGCTTATTTTTTTTTTAATACTTAAATTTAGATACAGTATTACAACTGTATTTTAAATTACAACAGCATTTTAAATTAGTTGGAAAGCCTGAATTGAATTTTTATTCATTCTCTTAAACAAATTCTAACTACCTTCTTTTTAAAGGACTGGTTATACCAAATAGTTCCAATTTTATTTTAAAGGCAAAAATATTGGTTTGACTTTTGTTAATTGTGTTGTCCTCCAACCCACAAAGACAATTATTTTCCCTTCTCTTGACAGAACTATTCTCTGAGAACATGCACAGTTAAGAATACTGTTCCTAGAGCCCAATTTCCATTATTTTTGAATAATGCTTGTATGAGTCCACTGTGCTGTACAATGAAAGCTGTTCTTCCTTGAACTCAATTGCTCCCAGGCTGTGGCCAGCGCTGGGCGCAGCAATGCACGCGGCTTTCCTTGGGGTTATTCAGCAAGCTGGTTGGAAATGCCATGAGGACGGACAGAGCTGTAATGCAGGAGCTCTGCCTCGCAGGAACTTGTGCAGAGTGAAGGAGCAGGAAGAAGGCAGCTCTCAGCTCCCTGTGTGTCCCTGTTGGTTTCCCACAGAACATCGAGTCGCGGCTGAAGGTGTCACTGCCCAGCGACCTCGGGGCGGCTCTCACCGACGGCGTCGTCCTGTGCCACTTGGCCAACCACGTGCGGCCCCGCTCTGTCCCCAGCATCCACGTGCCCTCGCCTGCCGTTGTAAGTGTGCCCACTGACACGACTTTATAGCTGTCCTCAGTGACACCCTACAGAGTCCTGTAAGCCAGATAGACACTAAAATCAGCATTCTCCTCAGTGAATGTACCTGAGAAAAAATAACAATCTGTGCTGTTTGAAAAAGGTCTGTAGTGTCACTGAATGAAATTCTGTTTGGGTTTGTTTCATTTAAAGGAAGTTACTTCTAACAGCTTGTAAGCAAATGTTATCATTTTCATGTGCTCTCTAAGCACATTAACTTCAAAACTAGTGAAATACAAAACAGTTCAGCATGAAAACAAAAACAGGATATTTTAAAAGATCAGAATGACTGAGAAGATCAGGAAAACATAGTAGGGAATTACAACAAGTAGGATCCCACTACACAAGACAGTGAAACCAGGCAGGGACCAAGTTGAATCCTGTGTCCAGAGCACTAAAAATTCCTCTGCTTAGGAATTTTAGCAGAACACACTCAAGGTACTTGGAGAACAGCATTTCCTGGAACAAAATGAATCCTATCATACCTTTGTGATAACAGGAAAAAAAGGTGACTGTGTCAGGAGACCTGTGAGAGCAGGAAAGTATTGCAGTCTATTTTGTAGGGAAAGCACAGAATTAGAGAAAGGTCAAAATCTGTGAGATACCAACAGATTATTTATCCACTTTGTGTTAATGGAAATCAGAAAGTTCAGTGAAAAGATTTAGGATCAGCTACTTGAAAGTAATATGGACAGGCAGATAGCTTGTTATGCACCTTTAAATTGTATGAATGAGTAAAAAAAACAGAGGTTGCTCCTTGGGGAAGAAGTTGTAACATACATGTAGTCTTCACTTATCCTTCTTTTGGAGCAAGTCTTCATGTTGATTGGAATCTGAACTGGCACTTGCAGGGCTGCCAAGTGTGTCACTGTGGTTGTGTCCCTGGGACTCGATGTGACCAGGCAGATAGCCTCATTATTTGAGAACGACTGAGCTGGACACACCAACCTTTCAGGCAGATTATGGGATCATTTCAAGCAAAGGCAGGGAGCCACTGCTCAGGAGACTTGCATCAGTGAGATTTTTTCAATGGCCTGGTTTGATGTGCAGCTGAATGTTCTGTGTTAGGAATTAAATTGTGGCTTTGTCATGTGAATCGCAAGGAACAGGCAGCCTGGAGTCGCGTGGCTCCAGGAGCAGAAGAGGCATCACATCATGCCCCAGGGACAGTGTGATCTTTGTACTCCCCTGGTCCTTTGGGAGAAAGAAGCCAGTGCTGGCCTTTAACCTGCTTCCTTGGCGGGCAAACACAGCACATGAGGGGTCAGAAGAAACCCCATCACTTACAGAAGTGTTGAACACCTGGAGGCTGCTGCCTGCTGCTCCAAAGCATGTTCATAGGAGCAGGAACTTGTGTCTCTTGAACCAGAAGAGAATAAACTTTGAGAGCAGGAACAAGACGGAGCCTGTGCTGTGGTATGTCTGAAGAGGTGTGAAAACTGACTGCAGAAAAAACCTCAGTTGAAAAAGTGCCAGTGAGTGCAATTCAGACAGCTCCGTTAAACACATCTACAAAAAGCTGACAAGTAGCAAGCTTCATTTCCAGTTTGCTGACATTATTTTTTTATTTCATCTAGCCTTTATTTTTTTACCTCTTTGTTAATTGAAGTATGGTTTGATATTTATATAGTTCTGCATTATAGTAATCCAAAACAGACTCTAGATTGCTTTATGTCATGAAATTGCTCTGAAATCACAGCATGGAAGCCATGGAAGTGCATTTCAGCAAAAGACATTTTTTAAATGATTATACTATAGTCACTAAAAGTGTTAGCCAGTTTTTTATATAACACTGTGTGTATAAATATCACAGGGCTCAGAACTGTCTTTTTTTTTTAATCATCCAGCATTCATAACTTAGCTTTTCATAAAACAGCTTTGAAAACTGGGATGGTTTTCTAAGAAAAGCAAACTTCAGCAGAGCCTGCTTTGAATTAGACGAGCTTATGTCAGCGCAGTGTTTTTGGCAAAGAGATTTATTAAGACTTTTATTTAAATAGAATTTAAAATCTTTTAAAACCTTGCCAGTTAAGAACACTGTTGCCTTTGCTTCTTTGCAGCCTAAACTTACAATGGCAAAATGCAGACGAAACGTGGAGAATTTCTTAGAAGCTTGCAGACGGATTGGAGTGCCTCAGGTATGTATTTCTGATGACCTGATATAATGTTTCAGATGCGGTTTTGCCTGGTGCTTCAGAAAATAAAACACTTTTTGGAATATTGGATTAAAACAAAATGATTAAAAGTTTAGAAGTTTCAGGTACAAGCTGTCCTGCAGTATAGATCAGACTTACCTTGCATGGCCTTCCAGAGCAAAATGAAGCCAGATATATACTACATCAGAGTGTAGTACATAGATTTTATATTTTAGTACAGATTCACTTAAATACTGTACATCAAATTCATAATAGCTGATGGACTTTGAGTCTGCCTTTAGAGCTGGCAGGTTCTATAAAACCAGTTACATTTTCTCAATATTAGGTATGTAACAAATTAAAAGTGGGATAAAATCTGGATGATGGTTTGCATGTGTTTTTGTTTTTTTTTTATCCCAAAGCTTTTCATGTTCCTTCCCAATAATTCTCTTACATTAATGTCTTTACTGTCTTACCAACAAGTCACAGAATTATTGGGCCTTTCTCTGATGGTAGCTGTCTTTGCATAGTTCATACTTCTTTTGTTACGTACCAATGGTAGAAGTCTGTCTTCCTTGTCCCCTTCTGAAACTTGTAAGATCTAGGAGGTGGACACATAATAAATAGTCCATCTTATCCTGCTGGTCCCAGTTATCCTGTTTTATGCTGTCCTGTCCTTTGCACTTTGTCTTATTCAGCGGGTCTCTTAGTACAAATAGTTTCAATATATTATATTTTTCCTAATTTCCCTTCCAGTGCACTAATTGATTTGGGTTTTTACATTGCTGAGCATTGGTATTTTTGTTGTAGGTGCTGGTTTCTTTTGTATTCTGAAAGGGAGAAGTAGACCCCATGATTCATTTCCCAGCTACATCTAAAGGCAGTTCTTGAGTCAGTCATGCTGGATTTTCTGGTGTTTTCAGATCACTTGGAGACATTTGAGCCACTGGGATTTTAGGATGACTTATTTATTGAGCAGTCTGACAGTTTCACATGGCTCAGTGGTGAATCTTGTTGGAAGGGGCTAAGGAGTTGTAAGTGATTGTTAATGCTGGGAGATCCTGCACTGCTTTGGTCGCCTAAAAACCTTTGGACTTTTAATCCCATCAGAACTGCACAATATAAATTCATTTGGGGCATTGAGCAATTCCATCCCAGCTTCCCTATTTATAGCTCCCTCAAGTATGAAGATACAGTTTTTATGGGATTGCAGTACAAAGATGATCACTGGAATGACCCGCAATCAAAACCAAACAAACACAAAGGCAATCAAGAAAAAGTCCCCTGTAAACCCAGGCTTCTCCATCTGCTATCCCTGCTGTGTAGGGCCCTCCTGTTTTTCTCATATATTTTGTTTTAATGTGAAAGAGTTCAAGGAGGTTCTCTCTGAGAAAACTTAGTAAAATACCCACCCTGAACTCCAAAGCTCTTCTCACATGTCTGCATTACATCTCTACTGAGATGTGAACATAAGATACCTCTATGTAAGAATGGCATGGCAGCCTGGTATGTTTTTCTTGAAAAGTTGCCTGCAGGTTTTTCATTTCATTTCCATTCTAATTAGAAAAATAATAGGCTTTCTGAAAGCATAGATCCATGTAGGAATGTTTAACTTTTAAGGGGAAGGCTACTTTCAGAAAGGGCTAATTACAGGCACCACAGCAGAGCAGCAATTTCTGTAGGACTTTGGTTGTTTTAAAGCCCTTGGATCAAAGGAAACCCTGAGCTGAACAGGTTGATCCGTGCATCTAGATTTCACTGATTATTAGCAGTTACCTGTGGGAAAGGGAGACAAGTGACACACAATGGGAATAGTTACAGAACTCTTAAACTCTAATTAGTAATAGATATTTCTGCAGGATGCTGCATTCTAGCATCAGTTACACATAAATAATTCCTTGTCCTGCTGTTTTCATTAAGTTACACGTGGAGGCTAAACTTTGGTGAGTACTCAATGCCAGCAGCTTCTCAGATACCTGTAACCTCTTCACTTCTGGAGAAAAATGGGTTTCACTAAGGCTTGTGTAAACTGCTGTTTTTAACAAGGAATAATTACATGTTGGAGCTGGAGAGGTGACAGGCGCCTCACTGAACACTAAACACTGACATTGAGTTCTTTGCAATGGGAGTCTTGCAGATTTCTATGTGAGAATTAACCAGCTGTGATGTGCTTCTCAAATGTGTAGGTTGTATCTGAGATGTCTGATAACTGCTTCATGGATGTTGCTATGGCTAACTGACTGACCTTTTTTTTCTGTCTGTTTTCCCTTCCTGCTCACACACTCTGGACAGGACAATCTTTGTTCCCCTTCTGACATTCTCCAGCTAAACCTCAGCGTTAAAAGAACAGTTGAGACTCTTCTTTCCCTGGGGACAGATTCAGAAGAATCCAGTCTTGTGTCCCTTTCCGTTCAGCTCTGGGGCTTTGTGGTGTTTTACTGTACTCTAATGCTAACGCTCTGTATGTTCTATCGCTGGGTCTTTTTTCTCTAGTGAAGGATAGTGGTGCTGCTTCCTCCCTCCATCACTCCAGTGCTTGGGAACAGATTCTGGGCTTTGCCAAGACTGTGTGTATGAAGTGCTTTGTTTCCCACGGATGGGACAGAGGTGACAAGTACAATGTACAAACACGTTGGTGCACCCACATCACCATCCATGACCCAATTCCCATTTGTATTTGCTGTGTCACGTTGAGCAGATGAAATGCTTTCCAAGGGAGGAGGTGCTGTCCCTGGGCTCCAGCGAGGGCTGAGGTCAGGACATGTGGTGCATGCTGTAGTCTGCTGACCAGTGGTGTAGTGAAAACTGCAGTGTCAGTTTGTGCCTCTGTTCCCCCATCTGTATAATGGGAAATGCAACCAATTTGGTAAATTGCTTGAGGATTATCTGATGAAAAATGTTAAACAATGTGAGTATTTTTTTCAATGTCAATATTCTTGATGTGATCTCACAGTCTGAGGAGATATGGTCTGGTGTCATCCACAGAACTTCCTAACTGCTTGGGTTTTGACCCCCAGTCCTTATCTTGCTCCTAAGAGCATTTGATTTCTCAAATTTATAGACTCTGTTGTATTACTTGGAGTCAGGATTTTTAAAACAACTGTTAATGAATCCTGAGCTACTTGAACTTTATAACAGTTCAAGCAGAAACATTTCAGAGAAATTAAGCTCTTCAACAGCTTTAAGAGAAAATTTTTCTAGCACAGAAAGAAAAATCTTTATGATCCTGTCAGGTGCTACAGAATGTCATGGATAAGACTTACCAAAAACTTGTTGAATTGTCCCTTGATCTTGGGCACTCCAACCCAAGCTTGTTCCGTGCTTATTCCCTTCTTCCTCTTATACTGTTGTTTTCAGAAACACTTGTATCATGCAGTTGCACAAGCAAAAGGCCCAGCTGCACAAGCACTCTTCACTGTTTTACAAAACTCAGGTAGTCTTCCATAAAGCTTCACAGCCTTTCCCTCCCTGGGGAAAGCATCCTGGTGCTTTAATGCTTTAATGTCTCAGGGACACCTCAGAACTTCAGGGCACTCCCCATGTGTGTAACAGACCGTGTCTCCTCAGAGTGGAGATCCATTCAGGGAGCTCTGCTCAGAGACCAGAGACAGGTAAGTGTTCAGGAAATGGCTGTTCCAAATGTGTCTTCAATAAGTTTTGTTATATCTGCAACTGCAGTAAATAGCTTGGAAGCCCAGTGCAAGTGGTGTTGGTATTCCAGCCATATCCTGGACCACCTCTGAAGCACAGTTTAAGGTACACAGGAGTTCAGTTGCAAATGTGGTCACTACCAATAAAAATGTTTCTGTGTATATGGATCTCACAAGCTCTTGTATCGTGAAGTGAGTTTTTATCAAAGGAGCAAGTAAGAGCTGCTGCCTTCTGTCCAAGTGACACACTGTTCTGTCCAAGCCAAAAATCACTGAGTAAAGAAGGGACTTTTGACAGGGGTAGATTGCTTTACTTTTAAGTAAGCTATTTTTGCACTGCTTACTGGTATGAACTAAAATGAACTCACTTCCTGTGTTTTTTAACTTCTAATGAACACTGTGATAAAAGCTGCAAGGGGTTTTACACTAACAGTGCCTTCCAGTTTTGAAATTTTGTTTGTCATTACTGTCTGTGATATGGAGTCATTCCAAAGCTTTTCCCCCTTATCTGTTTGCATACATAAGAAAAAGATAAGGCATATTTACTCAAGTTTACAAATATTTTCTCAAAAAGCACACTTTTTTCAAAGTAATATACATTTGCTGGAAGAAAAATGAATTTTAGCCTGAGCATATGGCTTTCTATGAGAATTGGAGTTGGGGTTTTCTGTCTTGTTTTCTCTCTGCTCAGAGCTTTGAGGGAGGAGTGTTGGCTGCCACTGTTTGTACTGAAGGATTTCTTTAACCTCAAAAATCAGTAAAGACTCAATGAGTAGAGAAATGCCAGTTGATGTGAAAATGACACATGAAAAACAGCCTCTAGCTCTATAGGAAGGACACACTTGGGTTGTTTTCTGCGGATACAGAGAACTGTTGGACATGTACCCTGTCTGTTGTGGAGTGAGGATGGCCAGGAGGTGCCAAGGACTTCTGTAGGATGAGGCTTTAAATACATCTTAGACTGAGAATAGCACAACTGTTAATAAACACTTTGAAACCTCTTTTTGGATGTTGTGTATTACTGTTACTCCTCAGGATGATTTTGGGGGCCACCCGCTAAGCAGGGGCACTTTGGGGAGGTGAGTGAGTGGTAGTGACTCATTCCCTGCTCCCCAGCAGGGCTTCCCTCGTGGCTGTAGCTGAACAGGCTTGTCCCAGGAGGACTCTCCAAAAGGTGTGATTTGGGAAGGAAGCTGTGGTTCCTCTCCTGCTCTGTTATAGCACATTGGTCATATTGAAGCAACCCCCTCCTCAAATTCATCTACCTTGGTTATTTCATAAACTGCTGCCATCTCCGTGTGGGCAGAGATGGAGAACAATTTGCTATTCCCCCTTTCTCCCATGATCCCTTTTCAAATTCTTATTTATACCATTTTCTATTAAAAGAACACAAGAGATTAGCCCAAGGCTATCTTTCTTGAGTAGTCAAGGTCATGGTTCCTTTGTCACAAGCAGAAATCTCATGTCCTACCCCTATGTTTGTGTGCTGCCTGTCCATAACATTTCATATTTTAGTCACCTTTTGCTTAATTTTTTTTTTCTTTTCAGTTGAGTGGTTTTCATCCATTTTGTTTTTGTCTTTGTTTTGTTCCCCATTCAGGAGCAATTATGTTTGCCTCTGCATATTTTAGAAGAGAAGGGTTTGACACAGGTAGCTGTGACTGTCCAGGCGCTCCTGGAGCTGGCACCCCCAAAGCAGCAGCCACTTCACCACTTGTCTGCTGTGTAAAGACCTCCGGGACCTTTTGGGTTACCTTGGCTAAGCAGAAGGACCTGAAGACTTTACTGCCCATGCAGTGCATCCAAACACACAGAGCTCTGTTCTAAGGAAATGAGTTCCCGTGATTCCTGACAGGAATGTTTTACTTCATTTCTCCATTTTTTTTGGAGATAACAACAGTTTCCAGAAACATTTTTATTACCAATATTTTTGCCCCTTATTTAAAAAATGAGAGTTCACTGGGAGGAGGGCAGGGAATGCTAGTGGCTGTCTGTTGGAGCCAGCTGTAGAAATGGACCCTGCAGGATGAAGAAATGGGTTTAGAGTCTGGAAAGCAATTCCTAGGGGAATTTGTAAAAAAAGGGTGTTGCTGCAGTGGGCACACAGGGAATTAAATTTCTTTCCTTACCCACAGGGTGCAAAGAAATGGATTTTCTTTGCCTCCAAAGAATGGCTATTTCTATTATAATATTTTTTTTATTGCATCACACAATCTTAACCTGCAGGGTTTGATAACAGGGTCAAACCTCACACAGGTGTCACTTGCCTTGGCAAGTCCTCATTACTAAAAGTTGAAGAGAAAAACCACTTTTCCCAATGGAAAAATTACTGCATGTTTTCTCTGCCAGAAACACCTTAGTAAAAGATACTGAGATCTGTTCAAGTGGGATTAATCCCATCAGCGTTTTTGCTGGGTTCACTTTCTGTTTGGGTTTTAACATGTCTTTATCTGAACACTTTTCAAACAGCAGTGGAGGGAGATTGCCCCTGTCCTCACATCCCCTCCTGGTGGTTTTGTGGGATCACCAAATCCCTGCATTTCCCTGCAGTGGGAGCAGTGTCAGCCTGCCCTGCTGGTCATTAGAAACCCTACCAGCTAACAGATTTATGAGGGGCTGAAGTATCCCCTGCAGGCACAGAATGGATCATGTTAAAAGCACAGTTCTCAAGTTCCCCAAGTGGGCTGGGTGTTGCCAGAGCAGCATCTGTGCCAAGGCAGCTCTGAAGGGTTAGACAAGGCTTTCAATAATGCCCTTTATTAGTTGGAGTTTATATAGAGAGATGTGCTGGTTTTACAGAAATGCTATCACTTCATTCCTCTTTCCTTAACACAATAATGGAATTTCGCTGTGCAGAAGTGGGAGAGGCTGTTGACAAGTTCTGTGTTTTCCTGGAAAGCTGATGTGCAAAATAAAGACAGGTCTATATGCTCTGGTCCTAGTGACAAGGCCAAGCTCACTACCAGATCAATTAACAATTCTTTCTTTTCCCCCTCACAAAATCCAGTTTCCACTTATGCAGTTCCTTTGTCAGGTGTTGCCCAATTCAAAACATCCCTGAACGTTGTGCTACTAATACATGGTACATGTTCTGAAAGCAACTCCAGGCATCAGCCATGTTCTGTCTGGGATATATTTGAAGCAAAATACACTGAGAGGATTTTATGCAGATAAAGAAAGACGAAATGGGAACAAAATAGCTAAAAGTCATTTTTGCAGAAGTAAAACTTGCTGTGGGAGCTGCCAAGGACTGGTCTTAGCTGCATTTTCCCCCTTTTGATTTGCAGTTTTGTTTCCATTTTGTTTTGCTTCATGTATTTCTTTCAAGGCCCGTTGTGGTGATTGTTGAATCCCCTGTTTCTCATAATTATTCCAGTTGCTTCTTATTGGCATTGGTTGGTCACATTTAAAGTGAAGAACACCTGGGAGGTGTTTAAGAGTGCCCAGCTGCAAAGAGAAACCTCCTCATGCTGGGCAAATGCAGCGCCCTGAGCCCTGCAGGGAATGGAAGTGCCAGGAACTCACAGGAAGAGCAGCTCCACACAGGCATTCTTGCCCCCTTAAGTAGTTTTTATATTTCACTTGATGCCATTGGTCATTCCCACAGAGTTACACAGAGGTGTCTGAAGTGTCTGCTGCAGTTTGCTGGGGGGAAGATGCTGCCACTCACAGGCAACACCACAGACACAGACAGAGTGTTCCTGGTGTGTTTGTCTCTGCACAGTTTGAGACAGAGGGAGGCACTGATTTAATCTTGGTTTCCAACATTGAGTCACCTGTTGTTAAAGGGACAGTTGCATTTACCAGCACACCCATCATGGGCTATTTAAATACCCCTGTTTGAAGAAAACCATTCCCTTCATGGATTTGCAAGGGTGTGGTGATTGCTCCAGCACTTAAGGAAAATGAAATGTAACAGTATTCAGGTTGGTGGAAATTTTGTCATTTAATTAACAGTATTTTTAATGGGGTGGGGGCTTGAGTCTGGCCTGCAAGAAGGAGCCATTTCCTGTTGCCATGAGTGGCTCACAGCCTGAGTGGCTCATGGCCACCTGTGGGAGGCCAGGCCGGCAGAAGGTCCCTGGCACCAGCTACTTGGTCGTGAGCAACATTCACTCTGGAGTTTCAGTGTAGGTAATTGTGTTAACTTGACATTTGTAATTTTATGTTTTCAGGCTGGCAAGCACTAAATCTTGTCCAGATGCTTAGGACAAAAGTGCAAACCCGAAGTTTCATCATGCAGTTTATTTAATGTGTTATATCAAACCCACTTCAGTTCTCTTGCAAAATGGGTTGGGATTTTTCAGAGTAGTTATGTGCAATTTTTTTGTATCCCATGAAAAGAGTATTTGAAAGAAAACATGTATAAAGTTATATTCAGTGTGTTAAAGCAAAGAAGAGACTCTTTCCTCTTCAGGACATTTGTGTTGGAGGATGTGGGAGGGATCCACTTCAGTGTTCTGTGCTGCTGGTGTTCCTGCACTGACTCCGTGGTGTCACACTCCATCCTCACACCTGGCGGGCCCTGGGCAGTGTCTGAGGCTCTGCACGGTCACACACTCCGGGTGGAGCAGCCCAGGCACTGGGGGGCCAGGGCAGAGCAGCTGGGGGCTCCCCGCCCCCTGCTTAAAATCCACCAGGGACAGCTCTTCACAGGGCCAGAGCACCTCTGTTCTTGGTAGCAGCAGGATGGCAAATGGTATTCTTACCCCTTTATGACTATAAATGGTTATTTGAAAAACTGTTTTAGAAACAGAGGACTTGAAAGGTGAATTTGGACATCAGAAAATTCTTTTGTATAGATATTGTGATGTTCTACAAAGTGATCTAATTTTGTTATTTCTGAAAACAGTGTAAACGTGTAAGTAATAGAGTAAAGGATTTTAAAGCTTCATCCCATGCTGTATGTCTGTAAATACATTCCATAATTTCTGTTACATATAAATGTGTCTGAATATTGTATATTTTAAATCGCCTGTATTCTGCCAGTAGTGTGAACTTCTAGCACATTGATAATATAAAAGGAAACCATGGGTATTTGAAATAAAGTTTTAAAACATGAATTGCAGTAGTTCTTCCTGCTGTTTTTCTGTTGCACCAACGAACGTCACATCCTCTGTCAGGTGTTTATTCCCCTTCCACATCATCCCAGTTCACATCTGATGGACCTGCTTTGATTTTCTACTTATCATAGTTAACCAGGGTAGGAAAATCACAGTATTTTTACACATATTTTGCAGCCACATCAGAATCTTTTTCTTTGGTATTTTTAACCTTTCCAGAGACTGATTTTGTACAGAATCCTGTGCTCATCTCTCCACAGCCCCTGTTTTTTTCCTTCTCTACGTAAATTACACATTCTGGGTTCGGGGTTTCCTGCTGCCAGTCCTGTTGCTCCTTGTTCTCGTCCTTTGCTTTTGGCCTGTCTTGAGTTTGAAGTGTAAAACTCTCACCCCTCCTTCCTGACCCTGATGCATTTGAAAGGTTTATTCTTAGGCAGAATGTTTAGTCCTCTTTTCATCTCTCCTCATCACTAATTTTATTAATTTTTAAAATATAAAAGTGCAAAGCCTAGAAACTGCCAGAGATCCACAAACCCTCCCTGCTTTTGTTACCCCTGTGATGCTCTTCCCTCTTCACCAGGCTGCTCCAGCATCCTTGTCTGACTTGGGTGCTCTGTCAGCCACTGGGGACAGCTCCACTCTTGCGTCTCTCAAGGCTGCCCAGCTCTCTTAAGGTATTTATTTCTCCACCTTAATCTAAAGCTTCCTCCTAACCAGCTGTTTCCCAATCTCCAGCCTTTCTTCAGCATTTAATTCCCAGGAAAGCCCTCTCTAAAGGGCATATGATTTCCCTGTAGAAAATTCCATGGATGTACATTTTGATCCCATCTCTCCACAGTTGGACAAATGGAGCAGCAGCAGCTGTGGCAGTTCCTCAGAAGCGCTGGGTTTGGGACCCTGCTCCCAGCCCAGGCTGTGCCAGCCTGTTCGCTTGGCAGCTGCACAGCCCAGACACCAACTCTGCTGCAGTTCCCATGGAGTGAGGGGAGGCTCAGACAGCGAGCAGCGCTCTGACATCAGCTGGTGCAGCCAGGGAGGCGGGGAGGGGCGGGGTGGGTGCCACTGTGGCCACAGTCCCCAGCCCAGAGTGTGTGGCAGGTCACAGGGTTCAGACAGTTGCACACCCGTGCCTCTGTCACTGCCCTGCAGTGGCTTCATGTGGGAACCTGAGGTTCAGCACCCCAACTTCATGGGAAAACCCTATTCCACTGTTGTCTCTGTTTCCAGAGCTACTTCATTCTCTGCTGAGAAGCAAGTGCAGCCCAGCATCAGATTTCACTTGTCTGGTTGCACTAATAAAGCATGCCTGGAGTTTGACATAAATGGCAGAGATCTGCTGCCCTCCATGTCATGCTGCTTTTCTTTAGCTCAAAGCGTCTAGAGAGTTTTATGATAAACTTCATTCCTTCTACCCAAGCAGGTCGCCTGTTCATACCCACATCACATACAGAAAACACAGGTCTGTGGTGAAATGTACTGAGTCAGCAGTACATGAAAAAAAAAGAGTTAAAATTAGGAACTTAAGTCCCGGGTTTGCACTGAGGCACTTCCTGCAGTGGGGTGTAAGCACCGTCCTGGCTCTGTTCCTGCCAGCACCAAACTGGAGTGATCCTTGCTCTAAGCACTGCATGGGGAGCATGGGAAGCAAGGGCATTTGATCACTACCAATGCTGGAATGGGAACTTGTTCAGGTTTCAAGCAAGTGTCCCTGCTCCAGCAGGAACACTGGCACTTCTAATGCAGTTTCTCTGCAGCATCTGCAACTTCAGCACCCCTGTGACAACCATGTCTGCCTGATAAGACACCAGTGCTTTCTGTTCAGAGTTCTGAGGCTCTCTGCTCATGGTTTCAGCCATCTCACATGAACTTCAGAGCCTTTGGCCCAGTTCAGGTTGGACACGAGGTATGGATGTGGCCAGCACGGGCTGGTCACAAAGAGCAGAGCAAACTCTATGGCTTGATATCTCCCACGTGGGAGAGTCAGAAACCAGGCAGCTCAGCCACAGGGCTTTGTGCACAGACCTGCATGTGGACTGGCAGTGTTGGGAGCAGGGATTCCCTTTGGGTTAAAAAGCAGCTCTGATCCCTGCCTGCAGCCCCGCCGCACTGCACAGTGGCGCTGGCCGGGGCGGTGGGGACAGCTGTGACAGACCTGCTCCTGCAGGCAGCATGGCTGGCTGCCTTTTCCCTTTGTTCCTCCCCTTGGTCAGAAGGTATATGGAGCTATTCCTTCTGTCTGTGCACTGACACTGTGCAGGACTGTGGGAATGGAAACCTGCATGCTCTGACTGCACTTGTGTTTACACTGCAAACTTGCACGTGTTCTCCCTGCTGACCTGATGCCAGTGCTGGAGGCATGGAGAGCACAGAGGGAGCCCAGCTGGGGCTGCCTTGGCCTCCCTGCCTGACCCAGAGCCATGGGCAGTGCTCGGGGGGCAGAGGAGGTTCTGGGTGCAGAGCATCCCATGCTGGTGAGCTACTGGGCTGCTAACAGGATTACCTCCCACTGCTTTATTTCCATAAAGCACTTTGCTGGGGATATAGTGTTTCTCGCTGCTTTGATGCAAATCCCCATTCTACTGGGAAAAAAGGCTGTGTAAGTGCAGCTTTAAGATCTTGAGTGCAGCTTCACCATAAGTGTGTCTGCAGGAACTGCTTTCTTCAGAATTGCCCAAGCTCTGTTACATGGTTTATTTTGCCTTGTCAGACATACCACAGTGCCCTGCCCAGCAGCAGTCCTGGAGCACATCTGTGGCCGCTTTCTTTACTTATCTCTTTGCTCTAGATTTTTCCTTGCCTGTTTCCTTCTCTCCTAACTGTCCCTTCAAATACTTCTCAAGCTCCTGGTAGGGGCCGAGGAATCTGCGGACCATTGTACCTTTCCACCAAGCCTGCACCTGGAAGTGAGAGAGAGAGAGAGGCCTGAGGGGGAATCACTTTGCTGGGGTTCTTGGTACAGCTCAATGCCTGGAGAGTCTTTCCTGTGCTCCCCAGCCACAGAAGGGAACCCCCAGCCCATGCACCAGCCTTTGGGCCTGTGCTGGTTGTGCCAAAGGCATCCATAGCTGGGCTGAGGACACCTGTTGCTGGTGGCAAGGGATAAGCAGTGGCACTGCCCCATGACCCTCCCTGTATCACCTGTGCAGTGATAGTTGCAGGAGACTGGCTGCTCCCCTTTCATTTTCCATCTCAAACCTGCAGCCAGCTGCTGGCTCTGAATGTGCCCCAGCAAAACGACCAGGCTTTGTCCTTTGATTGTGCCACCACACACCAGCCAGATTTCTTGGGCTGCTTTCTGCCTGGACAAAGCCTGTGGCACAGATTATTAACTCCCTGCTGCTGCTGGAGCAGCACTGCCTTTACCTTCACAGCACTCTTCAGCTCCAGGGCTTCTTGCTCTCTTTGTTTTCTCTTGGCCTCCTTGTCTGTCCGGTCAATGATGATGGTTGCCTGGAATGTCAGGCACTGCAAGAAAGCACAGGGATGGCAAAAGCCATGACAAACACATCCCCTAAACTGCAAGGCCAGCCTTCAGGGCTCATTGTGCCCAGACATTTGCCAGAGCAGGTCTCATCCTTGCTACACACTTCCCATGGCCCTGCCAGGACTGCTCAGGCCCATGGTTGTGGTGTCCCTCTGCACCAAAGAAGCCCAGGGATAATGTGGGGGGGGGGGGGCTTTCCTTCCCACCTCCATTATTTGATCTTTCCTAAATCCAGATAGCAAATGTTGCTCATTACCACCATCAGTCCTCAGGCACTTGGAGCTGCTGCCAGAGTGAAGCCTCTCACGGGCTGGATGTAATTAACCCTCAGATCCTGTGCTGTAAAATGGCTGGCTGATGGCTTCCCAGGCAGCAGCTGGTGGTGGAGAGGACACTTGGTCCCCCAGGCCAAGCAGCAGGTGATGTACAAACACACTTGGGACACTGAGATAACAGAGTGAAAAATGAGCCCACAAGCAGGGAAACATCCAGCTCCATCCCCTCATTTCCAACCCACGGATGGTAAGGAATGTTTACAAGTAAATTCCTTCTGGTTTTAAAGCATGCATTTTTCTAGATGCTTTTCTCTGTTCTGTGCTGCTGTTCTGCTGTGATCAGAGCTCAACAGTTAACCAAGAACCCAGTGGGGCAGGAATGGTTCTACCCAGAATCAGCTCCCTGATAACTGAGCTCTGTGCAGCTGGGAATGTGAGTCTGCAGGAAGGGATGAGCCTCTCAGTCTTATCCTGATCTTCCTAGAAGGAGCAGAGTTGTTCAGACTCAGGCAGCAAAGTAAGGTGAGGCATACTGATGGGATGGGACAGTACCTCTGCCCCTCACAAAGGCTGTCAGTAGCTCTCTCATTACTTGCTGGTATTTGAAAATAGCTGTAGGGGAAACAGCATCATCTCTCCTTGATGTCACAGATGGCAAATAGAAGATGACATCTCAGCTGTTGTCTTCCCAAGCCAAGTGCTATAATCGCAGCTTGTGCCCCAAAATTACTGATTTTTTTTCTGTGGTCCTGGTTCCTTATCCAAATGAGCATAGGCAAAATTCCAATGCAATTTTGCCTGGCTGAACATTGAGATTCTGATGTCTTACCTCCTTGGCAAATCTCTGCATTGTTTCCAAGTTCTCTGCCTTTAATGCCCTTAGATCATCCAGTTCTTCATCTTTTGCAGCAGTGTCATTTTTATACCTCTCTATCCAGTATTCCAGCTTTTCTTTCACCTCCTGCATGGGGAGAGAGTGGTGCTCAGCATAGTGCAAAGAGTGCACAGGTGAGAGGTTTGCTACTATTACATGGCCTGCTTTCAGGATGGTGGTGAGAGTCATGTAAATTGTCCATGGTTAGTGTTTCCTCCTTGTCTTGAAAGCATCAAACCCCTAAGACTACTCATAAATTACTGCAGGGCAGTAATTCTGTGCAGTCAGTTCTGATTGTTTGTGTATATACAGAAGGAGGGGGGGGTTAAAAAGCATAGTTTGTCAATGGGAGAGCTTTTATCCTTTGCCTGACTCCCTGCCCACTTTTTGGATTAAGCTCAGCACACCAGGAATAAGGTCCCAGGGGACAGCACTTCACACTATTTCAGGTTGTGAACTTGGGTTTGTGTTCGTGAATAGGGCAGGTGTTTCTGAAACAGTCACCCAGATGACTTCCTCCTATTCACCAATAACTTCTCCATAGCAACCACCGTGATTGCTTCCATGGAAAAATAATCTGAGGAAAAGCATCAATCTCATTACAGCATCACAGCTGGACACACAAGGGGGATGGAGGGCATGGCCATCCTCCTGTCTGCGGGCCCCTGCAAAGCCAGCAGCTGCTGTCTGAGCACCGAGGGGCTGCTGCTGGGCTGGCTGCTGGAGCTCAGCCAGGCTCAGCATGTACTCGGCAGTCCCCTCGCTGGGAGCATTGATCAGACCAAAGCTCTGGCGTGCAGAGCACACTGTTCAGCTGCTCACAAGATTCAGCATTGGTTTGCACTCAAATTACATTTTTAAAAACCTATTATCTCCTATTAAATTCTGTACTGGCAGTGACCTCAGGTACCCTGCAGCAGTCCAGGTTTTCTTCCCATCATACCATTTATGAGAGGCTTTACAGCATTATTCACTGTAAAGTTATTCACTGTTAATGATAGGAATGCTCTGAACCTCTGAATCAACACCACAAGGACATTCATGCGCTGAAAATGTGTACAATAGTTGTGGGTTAGCAATGATCCGACCGCAATTCTTCCTCAGATAAGGCTGGACTGGCCTTTTGGCCAACTGGACTGGCAGTTTGTGTCATTCCCTCCTCAGTGTCTCTCCCCTGTGCACAGCCCTTACTTTGGGCTCTTCACTGAGGTGCTGGGAGCCCCAGGGACTGCCAAGTAGGGTCTAAATAAAGCTCCAGTTAGCCAAATACAACTATCTGAGAGAGGAAAAATCCGTAACACCTGAATAAACAATGTAATTTATTACATGAAACCTAATTTTGAGGAAATCTATCTGTATGTAGCAAATCCCAAGCCTTGGAGAGCTGGGTTAATTAAGAGTTGAGGACAAGTAATCATTCAAACTGCAGCAGTCATGAACCTGGAGCAGTAACTGTTTTCCTTTGGGCACTAATCGATGATATGGTGTTTATAGGTTGCTGTTTTAACCATTAGCTGACAATCACACATACCTGATATTGTTGCATGAGGAAATTTTCAGCCTCTGTGTGGAGTTGACTCTCCTCATCAATTTTGCTCTTCAGATTCTGTGGTCAGAGCAGACAGAACACATGTGAGAAATGTTGGTGTGTATGTGTGTATACACTGCTGCTGAAAGCTGAGAAAAAGTGCTGGAGCTCTGTGTAGTTCACAGACATTTTTTCCAGTGATAAAATCAGCAAGGCAGTCCTTGCTCCTGGACCATCCATGAAAAAGGGACAGTTAGATCAGACCTCAATCAGTCATAAAAAGATGTTTGCAAAACCAGAACAGTTTTCTAGTCCAGTTCACCTTATGGCCACACAAGCAGCTCTATCTGTATAATCTGCTGGGGGCACTGCTGGGAGGTCAGGTTGCTAATACCTTTGCAAGCACCCCTTTGGATTTATACTTCTGGGTCTGGTTTTCTGACCATGGCATTGCTTTAAGCATTCCCTGTCTCCTAAAGCCATGCATCCTTGTGGTTGCTATTTGCAGCATCATACAGAGAAACAATAGAAGAGATAAAGGTGTCTGACCCCAATGAGTTTCCTGATCCAGTTCAAACAGCTGTGCTGGTGACTGTAATGGAGAACAGAGAGGGCATCTGGGGAACGAGGGAGGTTCCCTTACTAGATGCAGATGCCTTCCAGTAAGGGCCATGGGGAAGAGTTTACCTGGATTTCCTTCTCCAGGGCATTCTCTGCACTGCTGCACTTTTTCTGGGTTAGTTGGACCTGGAGATCTGTGTTTTTCTTCATGTAGTAGCTCTCTATGTTTACTTTGGCCGTTGTCTCTTGAAGCTTATCTTTGAGGCAATCAATAACCTTATCTCGGTTCTAGTGGAGACAAAAGCAGCACAAAAGCAAGCCTGGAGACTGAGGCCAGCTCACCTTTTCTTAGTCTTTCCATTCCCCGGTAAGGTCAGAAGAGACAAAGCTATAGGCTTCACTTTCCCTGAATGTTGCTCCATGTCAAGGAGCATTTCAAAGTGTAACCCATATAGACAGCAATAAACCCCTCAGCACGGAGTGATTGCCTCTGGAGAGGGTGGGCTGAGGAACAGAGTGGGACAAGAAGACAGGCCTGCTCTCTGGTCTAGAAATTGACTCAGTCATGCTTAGGATAAATATGAAAAAAAAAATCAAAAAAATTTAACCACCTGAAGTTAGGCTTTATTTTTACTAACACCTTGCATTAGGCTCTCTCAGTGAGTGAGTATCTGTAAAAGAAGAATAATATCTCAGCCCCACAAAAGCTAAAGTTTGTTATCCTAAAGTATACTCTATTCCTTGGATTTATTTTTTTTTCTAGTTATGCAGCAACTGTATAAACACAGCCTTAGGAACAAGTGCAAATCTAATGCTGACTTGCTCATATTTCCAAACAGTTCTTTCTTGAAATCTTACTAGGTAGATGGTGCCCACTTCATTATGAAAACATACACCCAGGGCAAGGAAGCAATGTCAAGGAAAAGCTGGCTATAAGGTCCCAGCCTCTCCCCATGCCTTGCTCTGCAATGGAGCTGAGCTTTCCTGGGGCAGAAAGCTCCATTTTCTGTTCCCTGGAGTTCTCCCATAGGCCAGAATCCTGAGTCCAGCTTTGGAGCATGCTCAGGAAGCAAAGTGTATTTGCTTGATTTGGGATTGCTCTTTTGTTTACTCTTTTTAATTAATTTATTTGAATAACAGATAAAGGTTCATTACCCGGGGGTTGGAACTTGGGACAAAGGCCTGCAAAATGAAGACTTTTTTATCGAGTTAGGAATGTCATCAAAGCTGCCTGTGTAATTTAATTATGCAAGATCAATGTGAATGCACCCAACTGCTCCATTACAACCTTTCTCTTTGCTTCCCTGCCATGCTGTGTGGGTTTGATATTCATCAGCCAAACCTCCAGCTGAAGATAAAGGTGAAATACCAAAGTGCTGACATTTTTTGAAGCCCACATATCTTGTCTCTGAAGCACCTCACATTCCTTAGCTGTGTAAACATGGAAAAGTGCCACGGGAAGAAGCCAGCTCAATAGTGCTGTGTTTGAAAGCCCTTGCAGCATGACTCATTTGGAAAAGGTCTCCTTATAAGAAGAGTTTGGAACAGTTAAAAGGAAAAGTCCTTCCTTCTGCACCCCTTGTCATACATAGGAAGAGTAGAGTACATTTATGTGGCTCAGGATAATTGGGGCCTTGGCTGATGCTGTTTTGTGGGTTCAAAGGTGTTCACAGGTTTTTGAATGTTTCAAACACCAGATACTATTTTTATGGCCATATCATCATATGACTGCAGACAGCTACAGACATGAGCTGTTTGTGCCTTATTAAGGTTTCTGCTCATGGCCTTTATTTTCCCTGGCATGGAATTTTGGTGGCCATTGGGAAGTGTTGTGTTCTGGTCAATAGACAAGGGATGTGAGTGTCTCACTCTATTTTGAGATTGTCTTCCTGGGTCATAGTGGAATCGTGTCTAAACTGAAGAACCAGCAGAGAGACTGAGGAGATGCTAATTAAAAAACAGCAAAGCCACAACTTTTTGTGGCGCTGAGGCTCAAGGAAGTCAAACACTGCTGATGTCAGTGTGTTACTGCTATCTGCTCAAGATCTGCAAACTGGCCAGAAAATAAGGGTTCAGCCTAGGTTACAAAGTACTCAAAGAGTTGGGGCAGAGCATGAACTTCTCACATTTTATTAAAGAAAAAAGTGCTTTTTATTCTTATGCCCCAGGCCTCAGCTGGGATGGGGGCCCATCTATCCTGTTGCTTTCTCTGGTGAATGGCATGTCTGTGGTTTGGATTTGGTCTGCAGTGTTGTAAAACATCCTGGTTAGAGATGGGGAGTCTGGGGGCTTGGTTACACAATGCAAAGCAGACAGGAAGTGAAATGGAAAATCCAAGTGGTGGTTTACAGCAGCATCTGCCTGGCCAAGGAATGCCGGCTGCAGGCGTGAGGGCAGCTGCTGCTGCAGGACCTCCAGAGTTGGGGCACATTTGGGATTTAGCTGAAGGTAGTAAATGCAGCAGTAAATGCCTACAAGCTGTGGGTACCAGCTGCAGAATGTGCTGTTCTCTGAACATCAGGGACAGTAACTGGGAAAATGAATTAATATTTATTCATTCTGGTTTATCATAGCAAAGGTCCACGCCAGGACACGAAATGCTTTCATAGCTGATGCAGTAAATCTCTGGGCTGCTTATTTAGGATGACTTCAGTGTTGAATCTGCCAAACCAAATCATCCCTTGTGTCCAAAACTATCAGAAAACTGGCAGACACCAAGATCAAAACCCAGAAAATAGTTTTCAGGAGCCAGTCTGCTTCACAAGCAGGTAAACAAGCTGATTTTCTCTGATCTCTCAGCTCACAGACATGAGCTCAGGGGCCTGTCTGTTGTCACCTGGTGCCACTGGAGTCTTCCACACAGATGCTATTTGGCTGCAAAAGCAGCTGCACTTAGCTGGAGACCTTATCCACAGTCCTGTGTTTTCATTTACTTTGATTTATCTCTCTTGTAAGCCACCAAGATCTCCAAGCTCTTCCACAGCAATTAGTGTTTACAGTCATAAAATACAGCTGGTTACAAAAATAGCCCACAGGAGTAAACAGTCTGAGGAATTCTCCAGCAGTCCAATGCTGCCCATTTGGCAGGGGAAGGAGTGCTGTGCTCTGTGCTGACAGAGAGCCCTGCTCTGCTTGCTCCCACACCGAGTCTCAGAGCTCAAGGCTCTTCCTGGCGGCTGTGGCATCAGCGCTTGCAGGGCCTGGAGATGTGCTTGGATCCACACACCTGCTGCAGCCTGGGCTCACTCCCCTGAAACCACAACAGGCAGCCCTGCAGGCACTTCAGCAGGGCTTTGCCTGCCTCCCTGTCCCAGCTCCAGGACACCTCAGGGAATGTCTGTGCCCAAGGGACAGCAGGGCTGGCTGTCACCTGGCATGGACAGAATGCTTCTGCAGCCCTTGGCCGGCTCAGCAGCATTGTCAGCAGCTGTGGGAGAGCCCCAGGAGGGGCAGTTTGCTGGCAGAGGGAGCAGACCTGTTGGCAGCAGCACTCCTGTGGAAAATCCTGCCCCTCTGGAGCCACCTTTGGATGTAGTGCACCAGCTCCAGGTCCTGCAGTGCTCCCTGGGGCTGTGTCAAATTTGTGCCTTCAGCTGTAATCATCCTGTGCATATCTCCAGTAGAAACATGCACCAGTGGGTGTGTATATGTATGTGTGTCTAAAACATTCCACAGAACACTCTATTGATGCATTTGTCCTCCTGGGAGAGGAAAAGGGAAGAAACATGATGGGTTGTAATCTTACTACTAAAAGCATGACTGAGTGATGCACTGATACAGTGGATCTGGGTGTGTTATGAGAACTGAAAAAGAATTAAAGTTACAGATCTGCTTTCATTGGTACTGTGGTGCAGTGGCTTTCTGTCTGAGCTGGTGGTACAGTGTTTGGCATTTTTATCCATTACTGTTTACAGTAAACTATAGGGAAATAAAATCCCTTTTCTGGTCTAATGTCCTGTCAAACCCAGGAGTGTTTCTCCCACAGTATTTGTTTATTACACGTCTGGAGAACTCAGTGTCAGGAGCTGGTTGAAGTTTTGGTAGCTGTAACATTGCTGCTTGTAATGACACCACTGCCTGCACACAGGTATGACATGAGTACACCACTAAACCTACAGGCCATAAAAAGTCTTCAGGTGAAGAACAATGCAGGAATGCTGAATTTTACATTCCTAAATTTTTATCTTAAGCTGCATAATCCTATATGATATTAATATGTTTCAAAACCTGTACAGGCTGCTGTTTTCTGGGAAACCAGAGAAAGTGAGTATTTTTATAGAAACTAGGAAATGAACACTGCAGCAGCAAACAGACCCCCTGCAGCCAAACCTGAGCTACCAGTGCTGCTCCTGCACAGAGAGGTAAGAGCAAAACCAGAGATACCATTTCAGCTCCTTTGGAGACATCAGTGCTTTCCAAGAGAAAACAAAATAAAGAAGAACATTTAGCATTAGATTTGTGTTCCATTAGAAAGAAAAATTAGCTGAGCAGGCTCATACACTATTAATTAGCATCTTATTAAGAGGTAGAAAGGCTCAAAATACAAATCCACAGCACCATGAGTGAGACAAAGGCTGTGTTTTTCTGGTTCCAGGATTAGATTTGCTCACTTTTGTTTTCTCAGCCATGTAGGCTTTTGTCTACAGGTCTGTGCATTATTATTGTTGTTCAAAGTACTCCAAAGTCAGCAAAGCAGTATTTTTATTTTTAATTAGTTGGCAAGGTGACAAATCATGCAAGTGTCTGTAAAACTGCCTATGGGAAAATCCCATATTAAGCAAATGGAAATTATTCTCCCTTGGGAGACACAATGAGACACCATTATTTTTGGCACAGGAGGAAAGCAACACTTTAAAGTAGTCTTGTCTTTGATTTATCAAAGCTGAAACTATAAGGAAGCTCAGAAAAGGACTTTTAAGCTTGAAATATTAAAAAAATCACAGATGAGTGCAAATCCCACTTGATGAGGCAAAACCCAAGAACTGAATTAGCACTGAAAGGACAAAAAGAAGAGCCCCCTCTCAGCATGGGAGCTAGGCACATTTTTATGACTGCAGGAGGTTGGAGAAGTGCAGGACACAGGGAAGTGGCCCCCTGACTGTGGAGTGCCAGGACATTGCTGCTGGTGCAAGACAGGATGATTGCAGCCCCTGGGAAGGCATTAAACCAGGACAGGGCACGTATATTGTGTGCACAGACATGGTGAGGTCTGAAGAACACTACACAGAATGAGAACTACCTCAGAACATTCCCCAGCCTGGGGAGTGGGTGAGCAGGAACTTCCCAGGAGCCATCAGAGTCTGACTGAGAAGGGCAGTGTGAGAAGCAAATAGGTTCCCCCTGTATTTCAGTTAAACTTTCCACTGCGTATGCATCCAGGCTGCCAACACAAAACCTTTGTGTTCTACAAACCAAACTTCACCACCATGTCTGGGGCTTAAAATTCCTCTCTGTAGTCAACTATGTCTGGGCTTGATTATTCTCCATACTTTTGTCCAAAGACAAAACTCAGTAACACCAATTCTTTCCTCAGATGCCCTTGCTGTCCTCTTGCTCACTGCTGAACCGAGTGTCAGATTCTTGTTCCTTCCCCCAGGCCCTGTACAGCTCTGCCTCAGCTTCTGCTTGTTTGCTATCACACATCTCCTCCCTCAGTAGGGCCAGGCTACATTTCCATGTTGAATGAGCATCCAGTCTGAGCTGTCTGGTGAGCATCAAAGTGACCAGTGATAAGCCATTCAATTGATCTGCACTTGTGCAGCCAGTCTTATATTTCCAGAATGCCCCATATTTACTGTGCATGCACACACCCTTTGCATGATGCAGACAGAAGGCTGAAGCTTTCCAGAAAGATTAATTTGACAGCATATGTGCAATAACATTGATCTGCCCTTGTGTAGGCATGTTTGGGATTTTCTGATGTCTGGAAGCCTAGAAAAATAGATTAATAGAACGACACTTTGCCCAGATGAAAATGTAGGTAGAAAAATGGCCTGCCCCTATGATAGGTGTCTGTCTTTCTCACTCCCTTTGGCACACTTCCTTCTGTGCCAAATGATCTATCATGACTGAGTATGACAGAACCCTAGATACTGTTAGCTGCAGATAACCTCTTTCTTACTGAATGCAGGTATCTGTGCTTTGTCACTCCCAGCAGAGCTTTTGGGATATTCTAATCTGACCACGGTCTCTCATGATTATGAGCATTTTGAGCTCCCATTTCAAAACCATCAGACAGTGCTCTTGAAGTCATTAGTGGGCTTATTCCAAATACAAATCTTTATTGAAATTATTCTGCTTCTGTACTCCTAAGTGGTGGCTCACTGTGTATGGCCATGGACTCTCTGAGTGCTGGGCAGCAGAGGCCAGCTTCCTAACAGGCTTCCCCCTGGCAAGATGCCCAGTGCTAAGTGCTCTCACCTGAAGGTCTTGACCAGTTTGTTTCTTGACATCGTGCAGCTGTTTCTGGAGTGCCTTTATCTCCTTGTTTCCTTTTTCCTCCCTGAGGTGGGAAAATACAATCACTTGAATATATCAAAAAAAGACAAGAGCTGTTTACCTAGAAGGGGAACTTCCTGTCTTCCGACACATTGTGGTAAGATAAATAGAGACTTCTTACTAAAACTACTGACTTGGTCAGTAAATCCTGAAAAAAGAGGTGCACAGACTGAGCAAGGCAGATGGGAACAAAAGGGAGGATAAGCCAAAAAAAAAAAAAAAACAGGGGGTGCTCTTGTTGAAGGCCTGGAATTGATTTGAGGATGATGCAATTACTATAGCAGAGACAGAAGATGCTTGTCATTGAGGCAGTTTCTACAAAATTGCCTGTGATTCTATGCAGAAGCAAGCCTGAGCAGCAGGGAGTGCCAAATTGTGTTGTTATGTGTATGAGAATGTTGTTTCTTTCATATCAGACTAAAATCTTCCAAAGAACACTGCCCCAGGTTCTGAGACCCATGAAGGGACCTGAGTGAAGACCAAAAGCTAGAGAAATGTTCACCTGTCTAAAACAAAACAGATGCAGTAAATATTCTAGGTATTATTATCTTATTTAACTCAGAGTGCTTCTATAATATTTTATGTTTATGATTAGTTTTAAAACTACTAAATTCTACAGTTGTTCCCTGAAACTTTGTATCCTATTCCAACCTTACAATCACACATGCATTTAATTTTCAGAGTCCTTATCTGGGTGACTAATGAACAAAACGTCCTGATAAGGAGTCTCCCATCATCTCACTGCAGATGGCTTTCAGAACAGTGTATTTACACAAAATAAGGCAAGTATTTATTATCTTGAAAGACAGATCAAGTTCATTCCATGAAAACAATGTATAGTAGTACTACATGGCTAGATATGATTGACAGAAGGGGATAAAAAGGATCATGTCCTTTCTGATTATAATTCGTCTGCTCTTTTCTACCTCTCAGTATTGGATAGTTACTCCACAGCCAATTGCTAATCTCATTCTTGCTTTCTGTCCCTTCCATGGATAAACAATAAATCCCTTGGTTTTAGGCAGTGGAAGAGCTGGGTTTCATGCTTGAAGTCACACATTGCACTGAAGCTGGGGATTTGCCCTGGAGGCAGATCCCTGAGTCACCACAAGAGCAGTTCCAGTAGGTTGGACTCCTGACAAATCATGACTGAGAGCAGCTTCGCTGTGCACCCTCAATGATGGGCCCAAGCTGCTACACTGAGGTAGTTTTAAAGTGGTCAAATATTTGTCTGATGACTGCAATTCTCTCTCAATTCTCAATTTTGGGATTGAACCAAAGGTTTGCATGCTAAAAAAAACCAAACCTCTAGATCTCAAAAGCTTGAGCTAAGAAATCACCAGTTTGAGCCTGAGATTATAACAAATGTGTACCCTGGAAGATTTGGGACAGCAGAGAATCACAGCAGGGTGGCTGGTGGATTAGCCTTAAATAAGACACCTCTGTCACCATCTGTGCTAACCCCTCACTGCTGCTGGGAAAAGGGAGCCTATTAGCATATTGGTCAGAGGAGATTCTCCTGGGCATCAGACAACCTAAAGGCCATATGTTGCTGGCCCTGATTTGAACAGATTCTCTGCTGCTCTGGCTTTCACTGGGGACAGAAGTTAAAGATCAAGGAGCTCCTAGATCACATTATGTTTTAATTGAAATGAGGCATTTGCACTAATTCAGCCACTGGTGTCCACTGTGGTCAAATTTCTTGCTCATAGGCAATTCCTACCTCAGATCAGTATCAGACCCATCCACTGTTTCTTTACAAAGGGGAAAACAGAATAATTTAAGTTCTAAAAAGTATCCCTTCTGTATTTTGGTTTTATTGGGTTTTATTTCCTTTTCAGCATGTACTGAGTGGGAATGGCTTTCAGCATTTAAGCAGGGAAAAACTGAACACAACACTGACCTGATGAGGATGTCATAAAACTTGCCCTTTTTTGCCTTCTCTCTCTCATTAGCATCTGTAAGGCTACTAAATGTTCCCAATTCCTCCATCTTTTTAATAGTGACTGTAATTACATCACTTGCGTACTGCCTGCCAGGAAGAAAAGGAACACAATAATTTACAGGTGCTGGGAGTACAGTGTTTGGCACTTTTATCCATTACTGTTTACAGTAAAATGTAGAGAAATAAAAATCCCTTTTCTGGTCTTATGTCCTATCAAACCCAGGAGTGCTTCTCGCACGGTATCTGTTTATTGCATGTCTGGAGAACTCAGTGTCAGGAGCTGGTTGAAGTTTATAATTTAAAATTCTGCCCTGCATGCTACTCTGGGAAATTGCAGAGGCACAAACATATCCATGCTTTGCCAGACTGTGTTGCCATTAAGAAGGCTGCTGGCCTGCAGTAGTGATGACAGGTGGATCTTGGAAAAGGAGACCTGGCCATGCAATACATCAGCTTGTCCAGTTTATTGAATGTCATTATGCATGTGGCATTTACATTTTAGCTGCATTTTCTTTATTTAGAATTAGAATCTTCTTTAAACCCATTGTAGAAATGACATTAAATGACAGAAGCCAGGATGCAGAAAAATGTATACTGAGCATTCAGCTCCATAATCTCTTTCAAACCAAAGGCTGCTGGTATTTCTGCAAATCAGGGCACTGGTTTAGGTGCAGGAATAAAATTTGTTTCAAAAAAAGAAAAAAAAATCTTTTCTATAATGGCTATAACTGGCACAGAAGCTCCATGTGCTCTGCAGAAATACTGAGTTCAAAAACGAGGCTCAGATGTGCCTTTGCATGTGGGATCAGCTAAAGGAACCTGATTCTAGGTACCAGAACATGAGCACTGATTGGTGCCTGGCATGATTTCTACCCAGGCAACCATTATCAACAGGGTGATGTTTTACAGCTCCATTCAAAATAAACTGCTGGTCATTAGGTAGCATGCAGAGGCAAGCAAAGGCTGGAACTACATGGTCTATGAAGGATACCACTGCTGTCCCTAGAGGAACTCCTTCCAGACAGATACTGATGTACTCTGGCAGTGAGAGACTGAGGTATTTGTATTTTTGCTTTCAAGAGACAGACTGAGAACTTTACAGCTCTGAGCATCCCTCACAGGTGCTTCACTCACCTGTCAGCATAGATTTTCTTGAGCTTCTCTAGAGCCCGAGTGGTGCGTTTCTTGGAGGTTTTGGAAGAATGGTGGGTGCTTTTTTGATCTCCAGTTTTCCCCTGCTGCTGCTCGTGTTGGGTGGTTTTCAGGGCTGTGGAGGTAACCGTTTCCCCACTCTCTTGCTTTGCTGACATAAGTTCTGAGAAGTTAATACCCAGCTCCTCCTGGATCATTTCTTTCATTTGCTGGATGGGAATGAGAGGGGATAAGGGAAATAAAAGAATAAGGGAAGAGGGAAAAGGGAATAAGAGATACCTGCTTGCACATCGCACAGCAGAACTAAACCCTCTGCAACATTATGTAATAGGAAGGAAAATTAGTACTAAACTAGAATGAAACTGTACTGAGAGCAGCTGATAGTGCATGTTACATTTTGCAAAGAGTGGAAGATCAGAAACATTTATGTTCGTTAGTTTTGAGCACACAATGTAGTTCATTGAAGTTTATGGGCTCAGAAGTCCTAAAATGACAGGACTAGAAAAGGCCTAAAAAGGTGAATTCATCTACTCCAAGAGTTGATGGTTCAGACTGTTCTTAATCTGATATGTTCTTAATGGCCTCAAGCAGTGGAGACTACACACTCTCCTGTCAATGCCAGCACCTGGCAGCTTTCTTTACCATAAGGAAGTTTTTTCTCCTCAACAGTATTTGAACCCCTGGCTTGTTGTCCTGGTCTGAGAACAAGTCATTCCCTCCTTTTTTGCAGCAGCTTTTACAAACTGGAAGACTGTTAGCCTGCTTTTCCTCCTTCTTCTCTCCATCCTAGACATTTTCCATTGCCTGTCAGCACCACTTTTCCCTACAATATTATTGTTATAACTAGAGCTGTGTGGAAATAATTGCAATAGACTTTCTGTCTGCTATCTGCTTAGCAGTTTATTTCAGAGAGTAACAGCAGAGGAAATATAACATTAATTCAAAGGATAAATTCAAAATATTGGCAGCTTTTTCCTTCATGGAAAGGTATCTTGTGATTGAGTACAATTTCATTAAAAAAGGAAAAGCCCTCAAAAATGCAAAAGCACACTATAAAATCAGCTAAGCTCTTGCTTCTACAAACTTCTCTGCTTTATATGTTATGGATAAAATGCAGGTGTATACACGGGGACGTTAAAAGAGAACATTTTCTTGCCTGCCTACCAGCATTTCTGTGGCTGAACACTTCACAACAGCACTGCTGACTGCAGCTAACACCGTCTCTGCCAGCCCCATCCCTGTCCACAGCTGCCTGCTCCCCACCCTGGCTGCTTGGGGAAGCAGACAGCGAATTCACTGTGATGAAACATTTTCCAGCAAAAAGGAAAAAAAAACCAAAACCAAACTTATTTTTAGCATCACCAGTCCAGATCCTTCCACAACCACACACACGTTTGTGCCAGCAGAGCAGAGAAAACAAGTGGTCAGGGCAGCAGCTGTGGATGCCAGGAGTACTTCCCAAAGTTACTTGTCAGGCAAGTCATGCAGGGCTTGTTACAAGTCAAGCAAGGCTCTGTCAGAGGTCTGAGGTGCGGCTGCAGTCTGTGAGGGCGCTGCAAGGAACTGCTTCATGCTGAGTGTTTTGGACAGCTCTGGGTTGGGATGGATCAGCCTCTGGCAGTGCCTGACTCATCAGTGACTAGAGAAGGAGGCTGAGTGACTACATGCTTAATTTTTGGACTGTTAAATTTACATTAAATGAATCACATACAAAGCATACACAGTCCAATGAAAATTGCATTGTTAATTAGTAAAAAAAGGGCTTCAATAGCTGTACTTCAGAAAGAACTAATTTTGGTAAACAAACTGCTTTAATATCATGTAGATTTTATAAATATTCTGATAGATGTTTTTTAATGTCTGGGAAAGTTCAAGACAGGCAATAACTGGGTTGTCTGTAAACACACACTTATACGCACTAATAATCAACAAATAACGTAAAAGCAAGAGGTTTGTAAACTGCATGTGTTACCATCTGTGTAGTCTCCTAAGTGCTGTCTGTTGCCCAAAATTCAGGAAATAGAAAGGCTGCCTCCCTCTGGGGCATGCACTGTGTGAAGCAATGTGCAAGAGCATCCAATCTGGAAAATCAGTGAGGTGCTGGCCAACACTGTGATTAGTCCTCTCAAAAATGTCATCAACTGAAATTTAGATGTCAGCCTTTGAAGATGCCATTGATTTGTCTGCCTGATAGACTCCAAGGTACTTTGCAAATACAAATTCTTGTACAAATACAATGAAAACAGCCAAATGTATTGAGAAACAGGGAGGAGCAGCAAATTACAGAGCACCAAAGTTAGCAAGTAGCTTCCCTAAGCCATTTTCTTGTTTCTAAATTGTTTCCTGCTCAAATTGTTTTGAAATCTTCAAGAACACAAGTAGGGTTTATAACCTGTGAGAAAGTTGTGTTCTAAGAAGTGGCTCGGTGAAAATGAGCATCTGTGATTGAAGAGAACAGCAAAGGTGTTTTCTCTGTAATTTACATGTACCTTCAGTAGATCTATCGACCTGAGTCTGTGTGTCTGAAGAGGACAACTCCTGCTGTCCCAGAGATATGCTCTTTGTCTGTCGTTTTCCTGCTGGCACTTTAGAGAGGGAGCAGCACTCTCTGGGAGCAGTTGAGGCCGGCTCCCAGAGTCTTTCAGGGGAGCAGTGCCCTCTATGGCACAGTCTCAGCATCGTTCCCGCCCTGAAATTCACCCTAACTCCAGCTGCTGCTGCGGCTTTGCCATGGGTTTTTTGAAAAGGTAATATGGAAAGGAAGCACGTAGAAAAATATGATTTAACTTCCTCTGACATTCTTAAGTGGTACATTAGACAGAGTGAACATCATTAGATGTCAAAACTCAGATCCCAGGTTTTATTTCCATCCTGGTTGTGAATATTTTCTTGAGCTCACCTTAAAAAGGTTTCAAGCCTGCTAGAACTGGAAAGAGCCTGCTGTGTCACTTATAGACCCCAGTACTTAGAGCCATTTACCCCTCAGGACAGCCCCATCCTGATTCCTATGTCTAACACCTACCAGAAATGTCACCACACCTTCCTCCACAGCAATAAACCCCTGCCTGAGCATTAGGAATTCTCTGTTCTCTGTATCTCTGCCCAACCATCTTAGCTATGATGCCTATTAGAAATCAACTAATAATTAATGATCACTGAGAAAGGGTAGTTACTAATATATTTTGAAGTGCATCTTTCTTCATACATTGTGGGAACAAAAGGATCTTTGGCATGGACTTAGGGAGGAATAGAATTAACCTGGTTTTGAGTACTTTGAAATAACCTATACATTTCTACTTTTAAAATAGCTCTGCATCTACAGAAGAACCTACATATGTTTTCCTTCCTTTTCCCCAGTTCCTTCCTTATTGTCTAACCACTGAGATTTTAAAATCGTAATCTTAGGAACCTCATCTTGGATCAGTAGAGTCCTTTGCACAAATTCATAACCAAGGCTTCTCATTGATGCTGCAATATAAGTATTAAAATTAGGTCACTTTTATTGTGTTTCTTCACCCAAGGGTCACAGAATAACAGAAAATATATTTGAGTTAATTTGTTTAAAATGCTGATTAAAGATACAAAACCAAAATGAAGAAAAACAAAAATATATGATATACATCTTTTTAAGCAGTGGCACATACATGGTTGATGTCTGTCTTGTCCTCATGTGGAACTGGCATGATATATCCAAGAATTGCAAGTTGATCCACACAGTTCTCCAGCACAGCACTAAACCTCAGAGCTTCCACATGAGTGATTTTTTCCATTTGTTTAGTCTCTGTGTTCTTGCTAGGAGGAACAAAGATAAAAGATACCAGTCAGAAAAATGCTGTGGTGTTAGTAATGTTAGTAACAGTAGTTTAAATGAAAGGTAGACACAAAGAAGCCTTATTTGCAGCCTTACATATACTTCCCTGGCTTTGTTTATAACCTTCCATACACTGTTTATAAGAGGAGCTGTGCTCTGCTAATGGCTACATTCAGGGACAGTGGGAATGTTTAGCTTTCACAAAACAAAGAGGTCCTGGTCCCTCCTACAGCAGATCTGGGTAGAGAAGCTGAGAAGGGGATGGGTATGGAGGGCACAAACTGGGTGTGGTGCCTCATTATTCAGTTCAGGGGGAGCAGTGGTTCATCGTGGAGTTTGGGAAACAACAGAAAAACGTGCCTTTTAAAATAATAATAAAAAAAAATCCACATCCTATAAAGCCTCAGAGGGTGAACCTTCATGCTCTAATCATTCCTCAATATTACTGTGTAGCCTTCACACTTTTGTGATCCCAGTCCCCTCTCAGCAGGAACTGTTACCATCTTAAGATGCTGAAAGTTAAACAAGAACCAATATCTGGACTGAGTAAACAATCTTAACTTTCTGTATTATTTTATTTTAACTTGCAATTCAAACATGAATGACATACACTTAAGCACCCCTTTGCCTTGCCTACAGATGGAATATTGTGAAAGCATATCTAAAGAAAAATGAAAATTCACTATTAATCCAGAAATACCTAAGAAAACACCTGCATAACAAAGGGAAAATTCTCTGAGAATTGTAATGTTTTGATATGCCATTGGACAATCCCTCCAAAGCCTGTACATACAAACCAGGTATTTCTTGTACAACATGTAGCACAACTGCAGTCTGAGGTGGTTGAGATCCTGAGTATCAACAACCACTAACAAAATCTTAATTTGGCTGCTCTACGTACAACTGGATTTGTGCCATCTGTAAAACCCTTGCATAAACATATCCTAAGCCTGCAAAATATTACAGCCCAACCTGCAAGTATGCCAAGGAAACACATCAGGCACTCCCTGTTAGCATAAGACATGGCCATATTCTATGAATATTAAAGAGGTTTGGATGCAGCTGTGCTCTGCATCACTGGAAATCAGTGATATTTCATAAGCAAGTGTTTAAAAATATACATACTTGCTATAACCTCTCTGAAGCTGTTATAATTTGCCCTCCTCCTTTTTTGCTGTTTTTGTTGAAGAAAATATGTAATTTACAGTTGGACCGTGAAGTTAATTTCACTTGGCAGAAAAGAGCCACTTTTCAGTGCAGGTTTATTTGATATCTGTTAGTATAGAATAGGTAAAACAAACAAATGTAACTCAGATTCCACACATTTATTTCCTGATGTCCCTGTCTGTTGCAGGAAGTCGTTTAATGCAACACGTGTTGAAATGTGCTGGAAGAGGACACGGCTCTCCCTGGGGATGGGATTAGAAAGTGCACAGGGATTGCTCCCAGTAAATCCACAGGGAGGGCAGATACCAGGGAGAGACAGAGGTATTTAAGTTAAAGGATAATAATGCTCTGGGTAAAAGGAAAGTAAATTCCCCTAAGCCAGGCAATTATGATGAGGTTTTTATTCTCCTGAATGGAATATACAGAACAGCCTTTCAGCCAAGGTAGTGGTAGAGGCACCCTGATTTATTTCAAGAAGTTTGATTAAATCATGGCAGGAAAAGATAACAGCAAAGTAGTGATTCTGAATATTATCAGTATGTTCACTAGACTTGTATTGTTTGTAACCATTAACATCAAATTTCTCTGAGCAGGTCACCTAGAACAAAGAGGGAAGTGATTTCATCCCTTTGCTTCTGAGATTTTTTCCTCTCTTTTATCTTAATTATAAAAAAAAGTTTAACAGCTTGAGACAGGAATCTGATAAAAGCATTAACAAAAAAAAAAAAAGAAACACAAATGATCTGTATAACACACTAAACCCATCACTTTCTTGTCAACCTTGGAATCAGCTATAGAACTGGAGATGCGGTATTTTTACATCAAATAAAATATTTTTCAATGTTTTACTAATTTTTATCTTTTTCAGAAATCCATAATCCATATCTTGAATCTAAACAACCTAAGAATAACCTATTGCATGTGGAGTCATAAAATATAACTAGTATGCTAAAAATACGATGAAAAAAAGATGTGCTGGGAGATAGCTGTGACAGATGATTACAGCAGCATTTTTGGAAGAAGAAATAACACATGCAGCTCTCATAGGAAAAAGGGACTTATTTGGAAACAAAGGAGGATGCAACAGCTTTTCCTCTTTTCTGTCAGCAGCTTCTGACCAGGAGAGAATTAACTCGGGATATTAATATGTTTCAAGAAAGCTGGCAGCTGGAATGTTTCTCTAAAGCCCCTTTGCTGCTTTGGTCCTCCTGTGTATCTTCCCTTGCATTCATATCCTTGCTCAGCAGATCCATGTGCCAAGCCAGTAGGGTCTGGGTTTATGTTAAGTTGGACTTGAGAAGGAAACCACGTTCTGGGGCATTAGTAAACACTACAGATATGAGCTGCTTGCTGTGGATTTTAGTGCCAACACAGTGCCCCTCAGACCATCCACTGGCATTGCCCTGCACTGCTGTGTTTGCTGAACTCCCTCATTAAACTCTATTAATAATAATTTTTTTTTTAAGTATGTGAAGGATTCAACTTCCCCCATGAGTTTTGGATGACATTCTTTCCCTGCTGATATAAAGGGAAAGAAAAACATATCAAGTAATAATTTTTAAAGCAACTGTATAAAAGGTCTGGCCTCCTGTTCCTTTGGGGATTGCAACTCCCTCGGCTGTGTGAGAGTCCTGGATGTACATTTCTCCCACCCTGCTGCCTGATAAAGGAAAGTGGATTCAAGAGCAGCATTTTGTGCAGCATTCCTTGTAGACAGGAATACTCCATTGAATTCCAGTGATAAAATGCATAGCTGGGAATGTCACATCTCCTTTAGGTCTGTTTGGCAAATGACTGGGGCAAAGACAGGTTCTGAATATTCACAGGAGCAGCAGCGGAGCCAGAAATCACAACTTCATTTTTACCAAAGAAAGGTCTCTTGGGAAGCAAAATAGGTGCGGCCTTACCTTACACAGCTCTGCCTCCTGCTAGAAATATTAGGACAGCAAGGTGCTCATTTTGAAAAAAAAAAAAAAAAAAAAAAGCAGAGGGGAAGGGCAAGGAAAGGAGAGGAAATGGAGAGAGGAAGGGGAACGGAAAGAAAGGGATGGGAAGAGAAGGGAAAGGAAAGGGAAAGGGAAAGATGAGAAGAGAAGGAAAGGGAAAGGGAAAGGGAAAGGGAAAGGGAAAGGGAAAGGGAAAGGGAAAGGGAAAGGGAAAGGGAAAGGGAAAGGGAAAGGGAAAGGGAAAGGGACCATCAAGATTCCTCAAGGTTTCCCTTCCCTTCAGCTTCCTTTTCCTAAATCACTTCAAGTGCTCTGAAAATTCACATGAATTTCTGGCAGTGTGAGGGAAGTGACAGAAATTGGGAGTGAATCACCCTGACCTGAGCAAATGGGTAAGTACATGCTTCCAGGTCTTATTTAGGAAAATAAAAGAATGTGAGACTTGGTTACAGGGATTTCAGTGTCGAAATATGTTTTCTGCCTCCGATATCAGAAGTAAACTAAATGCCGAGATGATTAATTGACTCAGGGTGAGAACATCGGACGGGCAGGGCCGGGAGCCGCCCCGAACACCAAGGGCTGCTCCCTCCTCCTGCTCTGCCTCTCTTGGGGCTCCGCGGCCCGTTTTCATTCGCCCTGCCCAGACTGACCCAGGCTCCCCTCAACCTCTCACCGGGATCTGCCCTCATTTCCCCCACTCCCGGTCCCGGTCCCGGTCCCGGCCGGTCCCGCCCTCACCGGGACGCGCCGCTCGTCTCCATGGCAACCACCGCGCTCGGGGCCTCGCGGGGCTGCCCGGCGGGTGCCTGCGCAGCGGGGCTGGGTCCGCCCCTCCCGGGATCGCTCTTACGGGGATCGCCGCCGGGGAACACGGGCACGGGACAAGGAACACGGGACAGGGGACACGGGACAGGGGCCGGGCGGTAACTTCCTCAACCCGGTGCCGCTCACTCCGGCAGCGCTCAGCCGCCCGCTCGGGTCCTGGCAGCGCATTTCCCGGCAGGCAGCGCGGCGCGGCTCTCTTTCGCCGCCATCTTGGGGCGCCGGGGGTGAGGCGGAGCGGGGCCGGGAGCGGGGTCGGGGGCGCTGTGCTGTGCTGTGCCCGCCGTGGGGCCGCCGGCGGGCGCGGCGCTCCCGGGGCGCGGCGGACGGCGCGGTTTGCGGCGGGGACAAAGTGGGATGGCGCCGATGCGCGGCGGATGGTCCCAGTGGCGGGTTGGGGCCCTGGGCTGGAGCGGGGCTGAGGCGGCTGCTGAGGTGCGGAGCGGAGGCTCCCGGGCAGCCCCCGGGTGTTCGGGGTCTCGCTGGCCGGGCCGGGTGGAGATGCCGGCCCGCGGCTCATGGCTGTGTGTCGTTTCCAGGCCTGCCGGGACCGGCTCTGCGGGAGGACGTCATGGCCGGGAGGTGAGTGAGGGCCGGGCTGGCGCTCGGTCGCTGCTGCAGCGTTCCTGGGAGCGTTTGTTAAGCAGCAGGCAGTGAGCGGTGTTGTGCTGCCCAGCGTCCTGCTGGGCCCTGTGGAACGCTCAGAGTTGTGTGTCCCCGTTCTGAAGTCTCTTGAGCTGGTTCTAGTTGCAGTTACGGTGTGCCTCGCTCTCCTGGCCTGTCAGTAAATATCAGTGTGAAATTTGTGGGTTTGTTAGCACAGTGTTAATCTCCAGTGTACAGTGGAGCTTTGACACAGACTGTTTCCTTGTTTTTCCCATGGGTAAATTTTCTGTTGTGCTGCCGAATTTTCTTAAAAGATGTAGGGATTGAGTTCGTAAGTGAAGGGATTAAATGTGACTACTGTGGAGTTGCCTGGAGAAGCTGTGGCTGCCCCATCCCTGGAGGTGTTCAAGGCCGAGCTGGATAGGGCTCTTGAGTAGCCTGATCTAGTGTGAGGTGTTCCTGCCCATGGCAGGGGAGCAGGGGAGTCAAAACTGGATGGTCTTAAATGTCCCTTCCAGCCCAAACCATTCGATGGTTTTGTGAATCCCTGCCTTATGTCCTGATATTAATGTGTGGAGTTTGTATTGTTACACGTGTGGCAGGTAGAACTGGATATCTCAGTTGGATCCTGCAGTATCCCAGAGCAGGTGCTGGATGCCCCTGGGCCAGATGTGCTGTGTCTGCTCGGTGTGTGGGACAGGTCCTGTAATGACCCTACATGGGCAGTGCAGGTGTCCTGAAGAATTGCTGAGGAGTTTGTGCAATGTCTGTGCCCAGTGGATGTCAGGCTGTTGCTCTGGCTGTTAACTCCTTTGAGGCTACAAATCAGGGGCAGTTCATACCTTCTATAGCAGTTACTGCAATGCAGGAGACTTCCTGTGGTGTGTAGAAAAAAAGTAGTATTTACTCATCAGTGTTAGTAGACATTTAGAAACAGTATCTGCTAATGCTGGAGTATTTGAATCTTAGTATGAAGCCAGTATTGTAGTGCCAGGAGTATATGACAAACACAAACTGTAATATTCTCATAAATACTTCAAGTTCCACATACTCAGCTTCCTCTGTTCATTGACGTATTTGCAGTGATTTGTAAAAGTCAGCTATTTCCTCTGCTGATTTCTGCTGGTGTGGAATTAGTTCCTGCTGAAAGAGCCTGTGATTTGTTTTTATTTTTGTTACTTTGAAGTGAGTTATAATTTGCAGGTATTTTCTATGTCTTTAGGCTGTGGTGCAAGGCCATTTTTGCTGGCTACAAACGTGGCCTCCGAAACCAGCGGGAGCACACGGCCCTTCTGAAAATTGAAGGTGTTTATGCCCGTCAGGAGACAGACTTCTACCTGGGCAAGAGGTGTGCCTATGTGTACAAAGCTAAAAAGTAAGTGATGTTTTATTCTTGTGCTAAATTAGCCAATGCTTGTATTGCTGTTGTAAATGCTAGGAGATCATGATGCAACATTATATGTAAGAGAGCAAGTGGGATGAGAAACAAGCTTTGCCCAAGATTGACAAAAACTGAAGGTTGGTTGATGGAGTAAATTAAGTGGGTGAATTTGTGTTAAATACTTTGAACTGTTGAGTTACTTAAACAGTAAAGTGATTTTGTGAAGCCTGGATGAATTTGTGTTCTGACTTTCATGGGGCCATGTTTGAGCACTGTCTGTCACTTCTGCTCAGCTGCCATTGATAGGCACCTTGGGAACAGCTGCTTATTCCTTCCACTTCCTTTTTTTTTCTTGAGTGCTGTGTTAGTGTGCAGAATTACCTTGAATAGAATTGATCAAACTGGTAAGTTGACCACCATCATTTCCAGCACGGCACATGGCTCTTCATTTAAGGCAATTTCTGCTGTGTATCCCAATGGCCCATTTTTCTCCTGCCTTCAGTGTATCTGGAGAAATGAGATGTTGGCGATTTCATATTGTTGATTTTTCAGCTTCATCATATTAGCAAAAGTGTTTTCCAAATTTTTGAGCTTTGTAAGCTGTTAATAGTTGTCAAGCTGTAATTACACCTTTGAAAGGTACAGTGAAAATCACAGGCTGGGAAAATTTCACAAGTAAATAAAAGTGGACATTGCACTATTAAAGATGGTTATGGAGCTAAATTATTGAAGTGCTTTAGAGAGACCACATTGTCACTGCTGGTGACAGCAGAGCTGTGACTGCCCTGCTGAGCTGTTCTTGGGCTCCTTTTCCCCAGCAACACGGTAACCCCCGGAGGCAAACCCAACAGGACACGCGTGATCTGGGGGAAGGTGACCCGCGCACATGGGAACAGTGGCATGGTGCGTGCCAAGTTCCGCTCCAACCTGCCTGCCAAGGCCATTGGACACAGAATCCGGGTGGTAAGTGGATTTGGTTTAGCAGCAAGATACTTATTGGCGGGTTTTGGGTGCCTTTTAATTCGTTATATTATGAGGGAACATTTGAACTTTGCTTTTTTTCTGTTGCTGTTGGGTGTTCAGCATGGCTCAGTGACTTTGTTTTGGAGCCTAGAGAGGCTTTTTGCTGGTTTCCTGTGCTGAGGGGGGTTTGTCTCATTATCAGGGGTTTGTGTGCTTGCTCAGGTTGTGTAGAAAGGCTCTTCAAGTTCCAGGACTCAGCTCCTGTCTAAAGCTGCCTTTGATTTCTTTTCCACCAATCTGTTCTGTATATTTTTGCACCCTTCTACTCCTTTACCTGTTTGATTTTTCTCTTACCTCCCAAGTGTTTTAACTGAGAGCAGTACTGCCCTGTCGTGGCCACGTCCACCTGTTCCCACTGTTGGTGTTTTAGCCACAGGGCTTCAGTGGGACTATCCCTTTAGGTCTCACATAGAGTTGTGATGTAATATTTTCGTAGTGATGTTATCAAAAGGAATACAAGAGGGGTGCAGTCCTTTCTTTCTGTCTTTCTCCTGTGCCTTAGAAAAAGGAGTAGCAGAGTAGGAGCAGCACAGATAATTCTGAAATCCAGAGCCATGGGAACTCTTGTTGGTGCACAGGAGGGCTGGCTGCCATGGTGTCTGTGTCACCAGTGAAGTGCTCCTGCAAGTCATTCTCACACCTCTTCTGTATAAACTGGGGCTTGCTTTAATAGCAGTTGAAGAGATTCATGGTCTAGATTGTAACTGCAAAACTCATGTTTGAATACAAGATTTCTAACGTGATTCTGTCTGGTTTTGTGTTTTACAGATGCTGTATCCATCTAGGATCTAAATTTTTATTCAAAATAAAATGGAGAATCTGTTGAACTTTTGTGTATTTCTGGTTTTACTGCCTCCACAAATTTTGAGAGACCTCTTTCTCAGTAGTATCAGAGTTGACAGCACAGAGACACTAAATCCTGGCGGGTGCAAAGCCTCTCTCACATCAGTAGTTCTGGTAGAATCCCTGATAATGAGCCCACATGTACCTGGCCAGCATGTGTGCCTGTAGCGTCTGCTTTGTGTGAATAGTTTAAACACATTTTCATTGCATGGCTCTGTGGTGCCCAAGTGTTAACGCTGTTTTCTTGGCCAGCCTTGTCCCAGCATGTCATGTAGGGCAGTGAGTATCTTCACAGCACTTCGTTCTTTTAGTTTTGCTGAATAGTAAGGTGGTGAAAAATGAATTTACAGTCGTGAAGTGAAAGGCTCAGTTTCTTATCTCTGAAAATCCTCCCAAAATACTGGGTAGTTTAAAGGTGGGTTTGAGACAGGTACAAGTTGTCATGGTTGCTGGTGATGTCACAGTCCCAAAATGACCTGTGGCTAGCCTGTGAGAGCAGTTCCACATACACCAAGTAGTTACATCGTTTTCAGTGCATCCCTAGTCAGTCAGGCAGGTGAGTCTGTTGGCCCAACCACATCCTGAGCCCATTCCAGTGCAGTCCCTCCTTCCCATGGCATGAGAGCTTCTCCCTGCCTGGCTCTGCTGCCACTGTGTGTCATGGAGCCCTCTGTTGGCTTTGCAATTCTCCTGTAGTGGGCTGGTATTTCACAGCTACACCTCTTCTGAAAGAGGTGGGGTAGATGTGTGTGCAGAATACACTATTGGGTAAATCAAAACTTTACTTGAACTGGAATTAGAAAACTTGCCCCAACTACTCAGCTCTGGTATAGAAATTACTTGCTGGACGTAAAAGACCTAAGCCTGCTGCCAGGTCTGTCCTTCAGAGCAGGAGAGCCTTTGCTATGGAAAACTGCATTTTTCAATGTGTGTAGAAAAATTACAGCTTATGGGATATTGGACCAGGTCAGTTAGGGCTTTTAGTCTTCCACAACTATCAACAGGTTGGACACATTGGATTCAAAAAAGGATGGATGGGATTTCCAGCTTTAGGTGTTACAGAGGAAGGAGGACGAAATATAATGAGCAAAGTTAATTGTACCTGCAGGTTTGTAGGCTTGTGGTCACTATCATATAGTTGGTTTTGCTGATGAGAAGGTAGTAAGTCCTTGTGAGTTTGATACCCAAACTCATATGATGAGTTTGGGTATCAAAGTCATGCCCAAATATAGGTAATCATCCCTTCTCTTTCCCCTGTTGCTTCTTTCTATTGTACCAGACTGCCAAGGTACAAAGCCTTTTGCTGGGATGTCCAACCCCAAAAAGCACATGGCTGCAATTTGTGAATCTTTGTATCAAAGCTGCTATTTTCGCATTCATTTGGTCCCACCCAACCCAGCATTGGCTGCTCAGAGCAGCAGGTATTGCCTGTTTTGAGCCTCTGCTGTGCAATTGCCTTTGCTACTTCTACTCCTTTCCCTAGCAGCCCAGTAAGCTGACGTGTGAGAGGAAGCTATGGCATTAAAGGAGCCAGCCTCCTTCGTGGACAAAACCACCTGGGATTTCCTCAACCTGCTGGACATGCTGGGGAGCCGGAATGGACGGGTGGGTGTGATGGAGGTGGACCATGCTGAGTCAAGAGCTCCCTCATTGCTGGTGGATTTTACCAGGGACCTGTGTGGCACAGAGGACATCAAGCACAAACCACAGCTGGAAGAGAATGGGGGAAAGGAAGAGGAGGACCTGGCTCCCCCACATCTGATTTTTATGCTATGGCAAGCCAGTGTGTTGAAAAGGCTCATGCAGTGGAATCACCTGGAGGAAGCTGTGCGGGATGTGAGGAACCTCCTCCCCTGCCTGCCAGATGTGCTGGTGCTTGTGATGATCCGTCCTGACTCCCAGGAGCAGCTGGACCAGGCAGTGAGAGCGCTGAGGAGAATGCAGTGTGTGCTGGATGGGGCCCTGCAACTGATTGTAGAGACTGCAATTTACAGCCCAGGCCAGCCTGGAGGTGTTCTGGAGGCAAAGAGAGCTGCCTGTAGGGCACTGAGAGAGGCCTTGAACTGCCATGAAGGTAACTGGGTAACACAGCTAGACACAGGGGTGAGGCACACAAAAAAAACCTCAGGGCAGAGCCTGAGGGGCAGTGTAGACGGAAGTGGTGCTTGTTGACTGGATTCAGATGAAAGAGGGAAGACAAGCTGGACCTTGAAGGCAACAGGAGCCAGAAATGAGAATGAGGGTTTACATGCTGGGATGGGGATGGACAATATGTCCAAGCTAAGTGTGTTCCCTCTTCCAAGTCAGATGGTGTTGGGTCTACCTTGCCTCAAAACACACATGGCAGTGGAAATGCTGCTCACTCTAAGAGCTGCAGTTCTGACTCCCTGCTGGAGCTTTCTGTGATGATGTTAACTGCTCCACAGCCTCACTGACCCTGAGTTCTTCATTGGAGGGATGTGCCAACCTTTTTGGGTGGCCACAGGCCTTAGCTTTGAAAAGATGGTGTCAGGTGTTCTTCTTCTATAATTTGTTTCTTCCCCTAGAAATCGACTCCCAGGAGCCATTTGTTATTTCACTCCCGGAGCTCAGATACTGCCGAGTCCTGCCTGAACATAGGCAAGACAAGGTATCAAAGACAGATGGAGAATGAACTGCCTTGGGCAGCTGAATCTGTCAGGTTGGTTTTAGCACTGTCCTGCTAGATGTCCCTTTGCAGAACACTTACTTCCTGCTGACTTGCTAATCTGCCCAGACCTTCTGCATGGATGCGATTCAGTGTGTGGCTGCTACCAGAAGGGGACAGTGTGCCCTCAGCATCACGCTGTCCTTGCCACAAAGCTCAGAGCTCTTTGCTGCATCAGCTGAACAATCTGGCCCAGGAAACTTTTATCAAAAATCACTGTGTTTCTGTTTTGCATTAAATGCCTTGCGTGATTATCAAAATGTCCCTAAGAAAGCTGTCAGCAGAGAGGGAATCAGAGCAGGCCAGAAGCCTCTAGATTTTAAACTGTCCCAAAACTGAAACAGGGAAACTCAAGACTAAGGCCTCAGACTGTGTTTTCCCAGGAGAACCTGGATGCAGGAGTCTTTGGTACATGGTTCTCACGAGAAACAAAGCTCCTGAAACTCTCCAGGGTTCTTTGTAGCAGGGAGTTGACCTTACATGTGTGCACATCCAACAGATTGAGTTTCTGGGGTGGGTTATTTTGGATGGGAGGAACTGTGGGAGCAGTAAAATATTTTTAAGTCAAATTACCCACATAATAGCTGAACTCATTTCCCATCCTCTCTGGGCATGGCAAAGCACTATAGGTAGTTGCACTTTTTTGCACTGGGAGTTTATATGTATTTTTTCTCTGGTGTTTTTTGTAGATCTTTTGTCATCCTAAGATCTTCATTATCATCAAAAAAGGATTAAAAACCTGATATTTATCTTATTTCTCAATGTCTGTGTGTATATATAAGCTTTAAATCTTATATCAAAGACTGCAAAACTTGCTGAAGCTGCAGGTTTGTGCAGTATGGTACAGAAGGAGTGGGATTTGAGGGCAGTACAGATCCTTTATACAATGTTTATCAGAGAAAGGATTCTCCAGGTTATTTTTCAAATTCAGATTCTTTCCATGTTCTTAAGGATGTGGCTTTATGAAGCAAAACAACCTTGTTGTAAGTGTTGGGGTGGTGCTGGTGCTTGGCAGACTTTTGGATGAGGTGACCCAGTTGCTCTGTTGTGGAAGAGACTTTCCACGAGCATTTCCACGAGATGAATTCTGCCTTTCATTACTGACGACACTGTTTTTTGGTCAAGCTAATGAAGAAATAGTTCCTTTGAGTCAAAGCAAGACATGTACATGTTCAGGCTGTTTGTGAGTGAAGGAAGTTTGGCTTTAAAAGATCAGGATATTAGGACATCCCTACAGCAAGAAGCCACAAAAAGGACTCTGTTACTTCCTGTAGCATCTGAAACACACAGATAACCATCCAGTCCAGGCATAGCCCATGCAGCTCTCAAGTTTCTCCTCTGGCAGCATGTTTGTACTTTGTCCAGGCGCTTCTGTGCAGGGTGATATGGAGCACTGTCAAGATGAAAGGGGGAAGAAATTCTGAGATGTGGCTGAAATCATGGCCAGAGCTTGGGAACACAGGAATGCCCTGCAAGGCCAAGTGATATAGCCACAGGAATGTGTGGCTGGGACAACAAGGAGTGCGGTCACCCACAGAGCTGAGGAGGTAGAAGGTCATCCATGGGTGCTCTCAAGCTGCACCCTTGCTGCACTCTCCACCTAATCCTGGGTAGATCCAGAGAAATCTTAGAGTGAAGAAGGGCCCCTTTGTGGCCTCTTTCAGGGCTGGCAAACTTGGCAGATCCACACTGATTTGCTCTGCTCATTCCAGTAACTCCAGGGAAGCTATGGATCTGCCCTTTGCCTTGTAAAAGGGAGCAGTTCTGAGAACCTGAGAGCTTGGCCATGCCAAGAAGGGGCTTTGTGAGAAGGAAATAGGAGAATGCACAAGGCAGGGTTAGGGAGGCAGGAGGGGCTGTGTCTGCATGCAGTGGTGCCAGCTATGGGCCCCCAGCTTGGTGAGGTCTGAGGTGATTTTTAAGAGGCGCTGCAAAAGGTAAGTGCAGAAAAACTGGACTGTTGGTGTTGAAGGTGTGTGTGTGTACTGGGAAAGAATGGAGACTGGCGGCTGTGAACATCTACTCTTGAGTCCTGTTTTCAAACCAAAGGCAAGGATCCAGCTGACGACAGCCAGAAAAAATGCCAGAAGAGGGAGCTTGGTCCTTGGGTCTGATTTCATACTCATTGCCGCTTCTTTAACATCTTCCGGTGGAGGATCCAAGAGTGGAATAGGTTGATAGGCTGGCTCCATCTGTCTCTAAGAGGGCAGGGAAGGACACCTCCTATGGTGTGACCAGGACTGACCAACACTTTGGGCTCTCTGTACATGGCCCTGTGCCAGGTTTCCATCCTCCTCTTCAGTCATACCTTCCTATGTCCCTCTACCATCCAGAAGGGGATGGTGACTCAAGGAAACATGAGGAAACTTAGGACAATTGCAGAGATGGGCAATTTTAGAGGGAACAGAATTTTGGAGAAAAGAGAGAAGAAGAAAGTTTGAGGTTCCCCATCAGGAAGCCAGGCTGTATCGCAGCCGTAGGGTGCCAGGGACTTCCCAACTTTATTTGCTTATGGGGCGTAACTTCCCCTGAGTGGAGCCCGGAGGGCTGTGATGACTTGGATGGATCCAGGCCAGAGCTGAGCTGGATCTAGCAGGGCAAGCTGCCTTGGGACCAAAAGTGGGGCTGCCTCAGCTGGCCCTGGAGGTGGCTGGGTCTGGGATGTGAGGGGACCTGGGTCTGAACAATGTCACCATCCAGTTAGATTAGTTGTGACTGAACTCATCACAGAAAGGGTTCATGTCTGGTTTAATACAAAGTTCAAGCTCCAGTGGGTGAAAAGTGGGAAGGTGTTTGGTCAGGGGCCAGAAAGATTGAGGGGAAGCTGGGGAAGGTCAGTGGAGGAAAAAGGAAGAGCCGTGGAGGAGTGAACAGGAGGCAGGCTAGAAGGGAATCAGTGGGACTGGGATGTTGGGGGCAGGAGTGGGGTTTGGTATTTTCTTCTCTCACAATTATCTCCTCTGCTACTTCTTTGGGCAACCCAAGTAGGTCTCTGTGGATGAAGAGCTCAGTGAGTGCTGGTGCCCTGCAGCAATGGCCAAGTAACAGCTGTAGTGCTACCCAAGTAAAGCAGATGCTTTCCAGCATCTAGTAAGAATGTGTTTTTAAAAGTAATAATTGAAGCAAGTTTAGAGAACAGATCAGTGGAAGAGCAAATGCGCAAATGTTTGCTGAGGCTTCTCTTGTCTGCAGCCAGTTCCAGCTTCTGGCTCAGAGGCTTTTCCAAGTGTCTGTTCCTGTGAGCACCAAAGCTACTGAAAGGAAGAATTTAAGGAGCTGGGCTGGGTCATTGGACATCAGGCTCAGAACAATTCCTACAGATTCCTTCTTGCTCATTCAATCTCTCTGCTCTTCTATCATCAAAACTGGCACAAGAATCCTTTATCCCTGTCCTCTTTTTACTCTCTTCAGAAGAAAGGTTAATCTTGGTAAATGCAGGCTCTAATGCAGTGGACAGTTTTTTGTTGTTTAGGTTTCAAGGCATTACTAATACACATGCCAAATTTGTTTCTCTGAGTAAAGCATCTTAATTCCTCTTTTGAATTCAACAGGCATATGTAAGGGATGTGATGACCCTCAGGGCTGTCTGTAGTGATTCTCTACAACTGTGACTGTCAGATGGATGTTTCATGGAGTGTCAGGTCTTCTAAATACATCTGTGTTCTTGCTTAGATTTCTGACAGGGCTCTGAAGACATTTTGTGGAGTACTACAAATGCTGCTGAACTCATGACTGCCTCTGAACTGTTTGAGTTGTACCTCTTTAAGTAACACAAAGGGAGTTGTATGTGCTAGATCTTACCCCTGTTAATGAGTGAAGAAATGTAAACAAGGTTGTTTGGGTATTGTGGGTGACATTCACCTTTCCAACCAGCCTCTGCTGGCAATGTTACATGTGTACCCAAAATAAACTAAAGAATTGCAGTGGTCATGAAGAACAGTTCTACATGGTCCCAAATATTAGTTTTTAGTGGCTGTGCTAGCAGTTTGAACACCAAGGCCACTGCAGAAGTAGCCAGAGGTGTACCTGAGTTAAGAAGAAAACTCCAATTTTTTTCTATACCTTCTCTGCAAGAATTATCTTCATAAATCTGGGGAATTGCCAGCTAGAAAGCCAACTTCCCAATGCCGGAGGCATCTGGCATCTCTGGGCAAGTCACTGGCATAGTGCTCCTCTGGAAGAGCCCTGTGAGAGCTGTGCTGTAATGGTCTGCACATCAGTCAGGCTTTTACCAGTACCACCACACCACAGGCTGTGCTGGCAGCTCATGAGGAGTTTAAATGCTCTGGGGATCTTGTGGCACTTTTCCAGAGAGATGAGGCTTTCTGGGGACCAGCACATGATCCTGGCCTCTCCTGCTGCTGGCACAACTCTTGATGCTGATTTTACCCTGAGCTTTTTTCCATAGGACCATGAACAGGCTTCTGAACAGATGATTAAAAAATCCTTGTAAATACAAAATCTGGGCAACACTAAGTCCAGACCTGGCTGCCGAATTATGTCTGACTTTGTAGCCCTCCCATGTTGACAGCTATCTCAGGGCTACCACACTGGCATGGGGGCATGGGCTCTTGCAGACCCTGATCTTTGGAAGAGGAGCCCAATCTTTCTGTTTTACCTTCCTCTTTTCGCCCTGTCCCATTTGCTTATCAGCACTTGTCCATGAGTAAGTTACTTTCTCTAGGACCCAGGGCAGAAAATCTCTCTTGAAGCCCTCATCCATGATGCTAGCCTGGGGGGGGTGGTGTTTGCTAAGCCTGCCATACTGGGGGAAATATTTTTCTTGGATTAAAATTGGTGCCACACTGTGACCTCCTCAAGCTGCCACACCACTGTTATGTCTGGGGATCAACCTGTGGCACATCCCTTCTGTTGTGTCTGCTGATCTGTTGGGCTCTGGGGACAGATGGCCGTGAGTATGGGCAGGCAGCAGGCACAACGGCTCAGCCACATTTGTGGCTGAGTGTACCCAAACATACATGTTGGGAATCACTGATCCAGGACAGAGACGTGGATTTTGGTTCTGCTTTCACATCCAGTACACTCAGGGACTCCTCCTCCCATCCCACAAGAGATGGTTTGGCTCCAAAACTCCTCAGAGAGTAATTGGCCAAGGTGACTCTGGCTGTTGACACCTTTGAGCTGTTTAGCCCTTCCCAGCTTCTTGCAATAAAATGTTACCTGTTCTGATATGGCATAGGAGAAGTACTTACTGCATGCCATGGATTGGAACTTCCCCATGCAAGTGTCAGGGCTGGGCATAATGGCTTTCATTCACTGTTGGCTGGCAGAGATACATGTAACAAGTGCCAGCACTGAAGCCCTGACTAAAGCTCCACACTTATCCCTGGAATCATTTGTGCTTTGATGGGATGTAGTGATGCTGATGCTTGTAGGCCTGTGACTGCAGGCTGTGTTTTGCATGGAGGTGGCAGAGGGGAAGTCAAAGGGCACTGGCTTGGGAAGGGATTCAGATGCAGCAAGTGGTGTGAGGGCTGCAGCTCAGGTGTGCGCTTGTGACCCCTTTGAGGGTTTAACGATTTGTTTCCCAAAGAGGAATCGTTTCCAGGGGTGGCTGTAGCCTGGCCAGGCTGTGCAGCAGCATAGCGCACATGATGCCAGAGAGGCCACTCTATTGCTGCTCTGGAGTATGAGATGCCACACCATAGAGAGCACCTTGGGGACACATGATTAGCTGCTCCTCTATCATAACCTCGTGTGTGTCCCACTTTGCAGCCACCACAGCCTTTCCTCATCCCCCTCTCACCTTTCGAGCCCCTCCACAGCACAGTTTTCTGCCTGTATTTTATCAACTTCTCATTGGCAAGAAGACCAGCCTGTGCGAGGGCTCCGAGTCTTGTCGTGTGGCAGATCAGGGAGCTTCTCTGCTGTGCCAACCTGGCAGCAAGCAGGGGCTGTTCACTCCCCAGGATTGTGCGGATTCGGGACGGGGCTGGAAGCAGGGGGATCCTTGACACCCCCTCGCTCCGCTGCCGCGGGGTGTTGCTCTGCGCGGGGCCGGGGCTGGCGCAGAGTGGTGGGGCGGGTGTGGGCCAGTGGGCGGTGCGGAGCCGGGGCCGGGGAACATGCGAATGCGGGCCGGACAGAGAGCACGGCGGGGGATGGCGGCGGCGGACCTGCAGGAGCTGCGGGCGCTCGTGGAGCGGGCGGGCGGGCGGCGGGTAGTACTGCTAGTGGCCGAGGTGGCGGAGGGGGCCCCGGCGGCGACCGCGCTGGCCGCCTTCGCCTGCGACCTCTTGGGCGACGAGGCGCCGCGCGCACCGTGCCCGGGGCCGGTGCCGGGGTGCCGGGCGCGGCGGGCGCCGGACGGCGGGCGGCGGGCGCTGGGAGCGCGGCTGCTGCTGGTGCTGTGCGGCGGCGGGGCGGCGCGGGACCGCGGAGCGCGCACCCGCCTGCGGGAGGTGGTGCGGGACGTGCGCGGCCGCCTGCTCGCGGGGCCGCCGCCCGGCGTCGTGGGCGTCCTGCTGCCCGGCGGGGACGGAGAGGACGCGGCGGTGCTGGACGCGGCGTTGCGGCGGCACTTCCCGGCGCCCGGTACGGTGCAGGCGGCCCGGTACAGCCCAGGCAGCCCCGGAGATTGCCGTGCCGCCGCCTGCCGCGCCCTGCGGGCCGCTCTGCAGCACCCCGCAGGTATCAGGGTCGGGGGACCCCTATCTTCCTCCGTCCCTCCCTCCCTCCCTCACCCGGGGCCTGGTTTCTATGGTGGGATTTGCTCCATTTTCCATTTGCTTCCCCCTCTCAGATGGATCTACCCCATCCTAATGGGTTCTGATCTCTCCTCATGGGATCTCCCCTACAATGGGGTCAGGCTTTTCCAATTAAGATGTGACAATTCCTGATGGGAGCTTCTCCTGACCCAATGGGATCTGGCTTTTCCCATTGGGATTGGACCACTCACTACTGATGGGATCTTTACACACACAATCTGATCTGCCTTTTCCCAATGAAATCTCTTTCATGCTGGTGGGATCAGAGCCTTTCCAATGGGATCTGCCTCGTTCTGGTGAGGTTCCCGACCTGACAGCCAGGGCAGACAAATTTCCCAGCAGTTTGGGAAACTAGAGTAGCTTATGGACAACAGGGACATGGCAGCTGACAGCTGTGACATTGTGGCCATCCATGACATGGTGGTCTTCCATGCTTATCGGATGTGTGTTCTTGGGGAAAGCAGGACTGGGATGTGACCTGTGCCGTAGGGTGCAGGCACAACCTGACCTTCCTGCAGAAGGAGGATGCTTGTGCTGATTTTGCATAATGAATAATTAACAAAAGCAAGTTGTTGTTTGCATGTAAAACCCTATGTGAGGATGGCAGGATGAAAGCTGGGTGTCGGCTGGGCCTGAGGTTCCTCAGGCATTTGCCCTGGGGCGAAAGGAGAGTTGGGTTTGTGTGTCAATGCAGGGTGATGGGCAGCTGGGCAGGTTCTGCTCTCTCAGCTGCCACATTAAACATTTTAATCTTTGGCACTGTTTGTCTTGGGCTGTTTCCCTGTCCTCCTCCCTTCTTTCATTTTTTCCCACTTTTACCTTGCTCCTCAGCATTTCCAGGGGCTTGGGTGTTTTGCTGTCTTGCTGGCTTTACCTCGAGGGATCCTGCTACTTGCCTCCAGCACCACAGGGTTGACAGGGTCTCCTGGGATCCTTGGCACATGGGGATGATTTGCTGCAGTTCAGGTGCTTCTTTCTATCAGCTCAGCCCAGAATCCTGGATCTGAATGCTGAGGAGCTTTGAGGTGGCTGGTGGCAAGGGCACAGGGCTGTCTTCTGCCACCTCTCTACTGAGGCACACACAATTCTTTTTCTAGCTTCTCTCCTTTCACATGCTTTTTGCTTCCTCACATTGTTCCTGCTGCAAAAATTTCTGGTGTGCTCCCAGACACCTGCAAATCCTCCAGTTCTGGTGGGACAGCAGCTGCAGAGACATAAAATCATCCCTGCATACCTCTTTCTTCCTTGGCACTTTGCTGGTGCTTTGCTGAGTATATGTATTTTTGTGGCTGGCTGTGTAGAATGAGGAGCAGGAGGAGCTGGATTGGATGTTATAGCCTGCTTGTGTGTGCTCACTCACTTCTAATGCTCTGCCTGGTGCTCTGAGTCATGTAAGTGTCCCAGTGTGTGTAATGAGGACACTCATCACCTTCAGGGTTCAACCTCAGGCAGGGACAACTCCTTTCTATGCTTCTGTGAGCTTTGCCTTCCAAAATCTCCACCTGGACAGAGGGATCCCAAGCGTAGCTGTGCCTCCAAAGAGCAGTTGAACACTTCAGGCAGTGCACCGGAGTTTTTTGTTTGTTGACTGCCAGAAAGACACTGAGCCCTTTAGTGTCGCAATGGCTCGATAAAGTGAAGGACACTGAAATTGGTTCATCATTTGTTATCTGATTAGGAGGTGAAAGACTGGATAATATTTCAATGGGGATACTGAACTCCTGCTGTTAGAAACCATATAAAATTTTGCTGGTGTAGTATTTTACAGGCTGATGTAGTGTTTTACTAAAATGGCTGGAAAGTCTGTAGTAACTTTGTTGTCTTCTAGAATAATTACCATACATTGACCACATGCTCTCTGCAATTTGCAAGCAGTTACAGCTGCAGTTTTCAGTGTGCTGCTGCAAGACCCCATGTCCAGCAGGTCTCCATGGGAGGGAGGATTGATTCATAAAACAGGGAGTAGTAAACAGGTTGATATGGTAGAAGCTGTGTGACAATGCAAAAGGAAAACTTCCTTCTGTGGGAATTCTCTGTGTCTGTCCCCAGCCTCACCATGTGTGCCAGCTGGGCTCCTGACAGGTTTCTTGCTCACTCTCGGCTGCCACATCCAGGTTGTTTCTGGCAGCGGGGTGGCAAAGTAGAAACCAACACCAGGGACAAATTTCCAGGGCAGCAGAGAGGTTTCAGCCAAAAATGAGGACTGCCAGGAGCTGCTCTGTGCTTTCTGGTGGTGGGTTTTGTGGAGTGGACCTGGTTTTACTGCTAGGATCTGGTTTTGTTGCCAGGCTCATGGAGGGAGAGGTGAAGAAGCAGCAGGGCTGACCTGCTACCAGTCTGAACCCATCTTCTCTGGTTTATTCAGAAGACATGAAAGACAGGGAGAGGTGGAGGCTGCCATCATTCCTGCAGTGCATTTATTGGAATCAGAGGAGCTGGAGAAAAGATTACAAAGCAAAAGCTGAAAACAACGTTCATGAAGGTATGCCCAGCTCCCTCCCTTGTACTCTGCTGTGATTGTCAGAAATTCCTCATGATTCCCTGGTGGTTCTGGCCCCAGCCCCTTTTAGGTAGCCTCTTCCAGCTACTTCCACCCCTGCAGTTGGCCTTGCTTCCCTCGCTGTGGTTTAGCCCAAACCTGATGACAACCAGCACATGCATCTCCTTTGTTGCCATCTCCTTGTTTTCTGACCTTCTGTTTGTCTAAACAAAACCACACTGAGTCTGGTGCCCAAATACAAGTTCAGCAGTGCTTCAGCCCTGGAAGCACTGCTGAACTCAGCTGCATTTTGTTTGAATGCCTGGAAGCAGAACTACTCTCTGTCTAATCAATTAATTGGAAGGACCCTGATATTATGGGATGTTTTCTGCAATATGGGTGGAAGGCGTATTCCCAAAACATTTGCTTTTGAGGCTGGCAGAGAGAAGGGAGAGGGCAGCCAGCTGTGGGCTCCCCAGTTCTAAAGGAAATTGTTCAGGTAACACATAGCAATAGCATTTAGCCTTTGTGTATGGCTGGCACTTTGGCTTGCACTTCCCAGCAGTGACTTTCTTTTTTCAGGAGTGCCTCATGCAGGAAGCTACAAGGCTTGTGATGTGGAGATCCAGGTTGTACTTTGAAGCACAAAGAGGAGGGAAAGCTCTTTCACTGTAATAAGACTAGAATAGACTCGACTCGACTAGACTAGACTAGATTACAGTGCTGTATTTTCTCTTGAAAGGGACCTACAATAATAATCTAGCCCAACTGTCTGACCACTTCAGGGCTGACCACATTTTAAAGGATGTTATTAAAGGCCTTGTCCAAATGCCTCTTAAATATATAGAATACTTAAAGAGCATAAGAGTCAGACAAAACAACTGAAATGAATGCCCAATTTATGCAGCTTTGAGACATGTGAGACATATGAGGTTTGTGAGACCCACTCTCCATGGTCAGAAAACTGAAGTGCCTGATCTTGCTGTCAGTGCCAGGCAGGCAATACCCTGTGGCCATGCAACTTGTTTTGAGATTACTGAGACTTCAAGAGGCCAGGAGCTGGGCCCTGTGTTCCTTTACTCTATTTGCTGAAGCAATGTTAAGTTTGTTAAACAAAATGAAAACCAGTTTTGAAAAACAATCAGCTGTGCTTAGGTTGTGAATATATATCAATTGCTTCAGCCCATGCTTTCTTTTCATCCTAAGTTGCATTTTCTGTGCAGAGGGGTTTTCCATTCAGGTCTGCCTTGACCTCTCTCTGCTCCCTGCAGATGACCTGCAGGACCCTGAGGAAGAAGTGGCTCTGGCCAGCCTTTCCCCCAGTGGAAACTGTGAAGAAGCTGCTGGAGGCACAGGCACCTAGAGCTGCTGGGCATCCAACACAGTCCACATCCCAGACCTGCCCAGTGGATTTGGAGCAACGGGAGGAGAAGCTGGTGCAGGCCCTCTCCTCCAAGGACCCACAACTCCAGGGAAAAGCTGCTTGGCTGAACTCGTCAGGGCTTTTGTAGCTGCCACCAGCACCGCGGGTCTGAGCCAGAGAGCCATTCCCTGCTATACCCTGCTGCCCTGGGGCACCTGGAGCTGGACACTGGGCTTCTGAGAAGCCCTTTGGGGATGTACCCCACATCCTGGGCAATATGACGTTGGGACTTGGAGTGTGAAATGCAGACACCTGTTTGAAGAATGAGAAATGTTTTCTAATTCTGAGCAAAGTTCCCTGCTGAGCTTGCTGGGGCTGGCCTCACTGGCAGAATGATTCTGCTCCCTTGTTTTCCTGCTTTATTGGTGCTTGGAAGTTCCCACTCTCTTTGTGATTAAAAACAAAACAAAACCAAACCAATTCAAAAACCAAAAAAGTCCCCCCCAAAAATCCACAAAAAAATCACCCAAAAACCTAAAAAAACAACCAAGAAACACAGTGGCTTGGAGACCGCAGTGGGACTAAATGTGAGCTCTCGGATCTATCAGCTACTGAAAAGGCTTGAATGTAACAGAAGAATGCAGTAACGACCCAGCTTGAGTGGCAAGAGTAACATGAAAGGTACTGATAGTGCTGGCATCTAGATCAGAGTGGGATTTGGGAGCAAGGCCTGTCCCTCTGGCTTGTCCTGGTGCTTATCAGGCTAACTGAGGGATGCCTGGGTTGGAGGGGATGCAGGTGGGCACTACGGTGTGGCTGCTGTTAGATGGGGCTACAGGAGGGGCCATCTTACCTGGGACATCTCCACAGGCATGGTGGCACATATTGGAGGTGGACTGCAGCACAAGAGGTGGCTGTTTCATAAATAAACATAAAAATATAAAAAATATCTATTTAAGTAGTTCCAAAGGGTTGTCTGTAGCCTATGGGGTAGCACAACTAACTAGAAATCCTTGGTTTACAAGGAATATTACTCTAACATAAAGAATATATTTTAAATTCTTTATGCAACATGAAAGAGGTCTTGTTTTATTTTGAGCACAAGCTTGAGGCTGGCTTTCCTTTAGGAGTTTCCTCCAGCTCAGATCAGAAATTTCAACCTGCCTGCCTCTACTCTGGGTTAGTCACCAAAGTGTATCCTCTGTGCACATCTGTCCTCTCTGGCTCCTTTTTCCCCACTGGCAGCAGAAGTGTCTGGAGTCCTGCCAGCTCTGGCCAGCACTCTACCCCAGCAGTTTGCCTTTGGCAACCCCCTAGCTCTTACCTGGAGCAGGGGATGCTGCTCTGCAGAGAGGGCACTGACCCACTCTCCTTCCAGCCTCCAGGATTCCTGTGCTTATGACCTGTGGAAAATAAAAACATAAGCATGTCACTTGGTGTGGGTGGCTGTGTTACTGGCCCAGATTTCAGCACTCAGAGCACTCAGTGCATCTTGGTGAGATTAAGGTTCCCTCCTGCTCCATCCCTGCACAGCCCAGGTCGCTGTGCAGGTCTGTATTTCCCAGTAAAGGCCTTGGTTAGGTGGGTCAAGCAGGACTCACCAGAAGAAATCCTTATTTTCTTGCAGCATTTAGTCTTTGTTGCTAAGCATTCTCCAGTGAAGAGGTGGTCCAAGAGCACAGACTGGCAGCTAAACCTCCCTCAGTGCTGCAAATCCACTGGATTTATTTACTGGTAATTTTTAGGTAAATCACACAAATTTATCCCTGCAAGAGACTGGTGGAAGTGGATGAACTGCCTGGGCCTTAGGGGGTGTAAGAATACATTTGACCAAAAGCATTGTTTTTCTTTGACTGAGGAATAAAGTGACTTGAATTACTTTTTTTCTTTTCTCTTTTCACTATCTGTGCACTTGGAGGTGTAAGCAGATAGTTTGACACATTTCATCGACTGAATAATTTCAGGGGCACATGCTTGCTGAATAAAGACAATTTCCACATTGGAATGTGCTTATTTGTTTGCCATGGTGTTATCCTTGAAGTAAGTATTATGTATAGCTTAACTCATATTTATCTTGGCTTGAAGAAACTGGATATTGGGATGGAAGTGACCCCAGTGTCTGATATGCAGAAGATCAGAACTGAGTGCAGGCCAGGTGGGGCAATGGAGAAGGCTGGGCATCTTCCCAGTTGTCCAAAAGCAGAGCAGCCCCTCTTGGTATTGTGGGTAGGGGTCTTATAAGCTTTCATTAGTAACTTTCACTAATAACTTTCACTAACTGATATCGTTATGCATCCTCAAGGTATTCAAGCCTTTCACAGGGTATTTCTTCCTATTCAGTAGCATTGAAGAAATGAACGCTGCCGAGGTCTGGGCACTTCAGTCTCTTGTGTGTAGCATCGCTGCTCCTGAGCTGGACTTCGCCTGGTGCAAATCCACCAGCCTGGGTATCCCATCTGTGTTGTGCGGCAGAAGCGGCCGGCATGTGTTAAATCCATGGGATAAAATCGCTGATCCTTGCACTGGCCCTAGAGATGCCCGCCCACTGCGGGCGGCCTGGCCTGGCGGGGAAAGCAGCCGCTTCTCTGGGCACGGCACAAACGCGGGCACCGGGGGAACCCACAGCTCCGGCCCCGCTCGCGCAGGCAGCGGTGTGGGGTCTGCGGGCGCGGGAGCCCGTGGGGAGCCCGCGGGGCCGTGAGGGAGCCCCGGGAGGGCTGTGGGGGAGCCCCGAGAAGCCCGCGGGGCCGTGAGGGAGCCCCGGGAGGGCCGTGAGGGAGCCCCGGGAGGGCTGTGGGGGAGCCCCGAGAAGCCCGCGGGGCCGTGAGGGAGCCCGTGCGGAGCCCGCGGTGTCCGTGAGGGGCGGCGGGCGGTACAAGGCCCCCAGCGGCAGAGCTGCCCCGCTCCTGCCTGCCTGTTTCTCCGCCGTCCCGCGCAGGCGATCACGCGGGCACCTCTCCCGGGCGCAGCGCGGAGCCGCCGGAAGGGGCCCTGGGCTGCACTTCCGGGCCGGGCAGCGGCGGCGGAACCGCGGCTGGGCCGGACCGGACCGGACCCGACCTCCCCCGGACCCTTCGGACCTCCCCGATCCCCCCTCCGAGGGCAGCCGGGCGGCACCATGATCACCTCGGCCGGTGAGGCAGCGGCGCGGCGTTGTCCGCCGGAGTTTCGCTGAGTCAGGGCCGTGACTGAGCACCGCCGCGGCTCCTCGGGGCCGCCCGTCACGGGGCTCCCCTGCCCCGCTCAGCCCCGGACGGCTGAGAGAGGCCGCCCCGCTGCCCGGCGGCCCGGCACGACCGGCTCTGCAAGGCCGGTGCCGTGTCCGTCTGCTGCCGGTGTCTGACGGGGGCTCCGGTGGCGGTGCGGGGTGAGCGGGCGGGCTCCGCTGCCTCCCGCGGTGTGAAACCGGGGGGCACTCGGGAGGTTCAGCGGGGACCTGAGAGGGGGAAGAGGAAGGAGTTCGGAGTTCAGAAACGCAAATGCTTTGCAGAGGAAACGCCGGTCTGAGGAGTGAGGGATAATGAAGC